TGTTGACATTCCTCTTGGTTTTGAATGTACTGGTACAGAAGCAGCAGCAGAAGAAGCAGGGGGGGCCTGATGTTGAGCCTCTCCTGGGTTGCTGCCAAGTCCTCCCAGACCTTAATGTTTTTTCAGCAGTTGGCTGGTCTGTTTTTTTCCTTTCCATTTGCCATAACACTTAAAAGATTCAAGGTCAGTCCCAAAGTCTCACAGTTTTTTATCTTGCAGCTGGAAATTCCCCTAGCCCAGCTCGACAAGAACATATTCTTGTACCACAGCAAGAAGCTTAAGTCCTGTAGTTGAAGCTTCCATTTCCAGGCCAAAGAAGTTCTCGCTGCATCCATGGAAGATGTTTCTTAGATCGGAAAGTTGCCATTTGATCATCCCACAAGTTCGAAAGTGCAAGTTGTGAGGAGGCTTGGGTGGGACATTTAAAATTTTAAAAGATTTCTTGAAAATTGTCTGTCCAGAATTTGGATGCCAGAGCATTTCCACCAACACAAGCAGAAAAAATATCCTCCTGCTTGCACAGCAGCACCGACAATCCCGTGGGGCATTTGATGTTATGTGAGAAAGTTGCACAGCAGAGGTGCTTCTCCCCAACTCTCGGGTGAGCATAATGGCCACTCGCTTTGGGCCCTGACACTTCACTCTCCTACAGCCCTGTAATCGTGGAGATCCCTCACTTTGCCTCGCACGGCCGCGGTGACAGGGAGCTGGTGGTTCTACGCAGTGAGAATGGATCCATATGGAAGGAGCACCGCAGCCGCTATGGGGAGAGCTACTTGGACCAGGTCCTCAATGGCATGGATGAAGGTATGAGTGCCTGGCAGGAACAGGGGAAACCAGTTGGGGAAGAGGCTCAAAACTGCCCAAGGAGCAAGGAAGTGACAATAGCTTTGCTGGTTTCCAAGCCTCAGCTCAGGGGCAGAGGGACCATCCTCAGCCCCCTTTGCTTCTGGGCAGCCTCCCAGAGGCCAGAGGCAAAAGCAGGCAGAGAAATGAATGTGAACTTCAACTTGGTGCAGTAAACTGGTTTCTTTGCCCACTCTCAGCCCACTCTGCCCCCATTCAGGCAGGCAAGAAGCATTATCTTCAAGGACACATTCCAACGTGGCAAAAACAAGGGGGGATGTGGCCTACAGAGACTTCCAAGGGCCACGAGGAGAGATCAGGAGGGCTGCTTGTGCCTGCCCCCCAGGCCCGAGGTTTTCCACCCCTGCCCTAACCACCGAGCATAGCATAGCTAGCCACTCGGGTGCCCGGGACCGTGTGCGCACCCTGCAGACGGGGGTGAAGAGAGCCACCTATGGGGGCAGGGCAGGCCGCCAATGGGGGCGGGGCAAGTCAAGGCAGGGCGTGCTGCATGGAGCCTCTCTGTAGGGCGGCTGAGGTGGTGGGCAGGCGCAAGCCCCACGCTGCTCAAAAAAGCAGCGCTGAGCTTGCAGGCAGTTCGCCCACCGCTTCCCCCTCAGGAGAGACGCGTGGCTCAGGCATGCTGCAGGCCCCACGGTGTGGCCCCCAGTGCCCCCCGCCTCACCCAGCTATGCCTCTGGATTAGGCAGAGTCATGGAGGGGAGGGCTGTCGAAGGCTACTAGCCATAAAGGCTGTGCTCTGCCTCCGAAGTTGGAGGCGGCAATGCTTCTGGTTTCTGGAAATCACTCGAGGGGAGAGGGCTCCTGCAGTGGCGTAGGAAGGGGGGCCAGTGGGTGTGGAAGTTATTTTTTCAAAAACACATATGTTTGCCATTATGAGAGCCAGTGTGGTGTAGTGGTTAAGAGCAGTAGTCTGCTAATCTGGGGAACCGGGTTCGCGTCTCCGCTCCTCCACTTGCAGCTGCTGGGTGACCTTGGGCCAGTCACACTTCTCTGAAGTCTCTCAGCCCCACTCACCTCACAGAGTGTTTGTTGTGGGGGAGGAAGGGAAAGGAGAATGTTAGCCGCTTTGAGACTCCTTAAAGGGAGTGAAAGGCGGGATATCAAATCCAAACTCTTCTTCTTCTTCTTCTTCTTCCATTTTGTCACCCTCCTCAGTGAGGACACCCGAGGCAGCCTGCACCCACCACACACCCCTTTCCTATGCCACTGCTAACCACATAGGACCAGGCTACCTAAAAGGCTACCTTTGCCCACAGGTTACCTGCATGTGCGTTGCAGGTTGCTGGGAGGCTCTTCTCTGGGATGAGGGAGGAGGCCTTTGGGGGCCACCCCTAAGAAGTCCAACTCCCTACCTTGGGAAATTGCTTTGTCCCCTTCCGATGGTTCTGACAGACATTTGGCCTAGCAAGTTGCTGGTGCCTGTTTTGTGCTCCCTGATTTTTTGGTGTGACATTTTTCGCTGCTGTTCCTGTCTCTCTTAAGCTGCCATTAATTCCCCTCGCCTCCAGTACAGTTTCATCTGTCTGCTGGTGGTTCTACTCAAAAGGAAAATGTAAATTAAAAAAATTATTCTGATTGCAATGATTTGAAGTCGTAAGGAGTGTGAATGCTAAGTCAAACTGTTGGTCTGTGGGTCAGGGTTCTGAGCCTTTCATGACTGGTCAATCTAGTTCTTCTATTGATTTATTGCTCGTGGCACACTATCAGCAATATGCAGTTCAGGAAATCCTTGCTGTGTGATCTTACTATGCCACTGCCAACTCTTACAGAGCTGGAGAGCCTCGAGGAGCTGGAGAAGAAGAGGATTTGCCGCATCATCACCACGGATTTCCCTCTTTACTTTGTGGTCATGTCTCGCGTGTCCCAGGACTGTGACCTGATTGGCCCAGAGGGTGGCTGTCTGCAGAGCACGTTGGTGCCTCTGGTCCAGGCCACATTCCCAGAAACAGCAGTCACCAAGAAGGTCAAGCTAGCTCTGCAGGTACAAGGACAACCTCCTGTCTCTTGCATCTATCTCTAGAGCAGAGCAGTCCAGGGAGACTTGAAGCAGGAATGGTGTGGACATGGGAGTTTGTGGGTGTAGTTCTGAATTTGGGGAGCAGGCTTGGTGGGCTTCGTAATAAGCAAACACAGCCAAAATAACCAATGCAAATTAAATGTGCACATAAGGTAAAGGTACCCCTGCCCTTACGGGCCAGTCTTGACAGACTCTGGGGTTGTGCGCCCATCTCACTTAAGAGGCCAGGGGCCAGCGCTGTCCGAATACACTTCCGGGTCACGTGGCCAGCGTGAGAAGCTGCATCTGGCGAGCCAGCGCAGCACACGGAACGCTGTTTACCTTCCCACTGGTAAGCGGTCCCTATTTATCTACTTGCACCCAGGGGTGCTTTCGAACTGCTAGGTTGGCAGGCGCTGGGACCGAGCAACGGGAGCGCACCCCGCCGCGGGGATTCGAACCGCCGACCTGACGAACGGCAAGTCCTAGGCGCTGAGGTTTTACCCACAGCGCCACCTGTGTCCCACATAATATAGGAAACATAATATAGGCGATCAAAAAATATGGAATACAGACAAGCCCCGATTTGTGCAGGGGTTGCATTCCAGGTCAGTGTGCATGTTGATGGAGCACGCATAAGCCTGCCCCACCCTGTTACACCCTCTTCAGGCTCCAAAAATGGCCCATGCATGCACAGTGGCACGTCCTTAGAACGCACACAAAACGGGGGTTGCCTGTATTTTGGCAGGGAATAATGGAAAGGCATTGAGATCTAGGCAAGGGATCTGACTGAGCGCTGGGTTTCAGGAATAGCAGCCAGGGCTGGATGGCGAAAACTGGAGTTGTGCTTCAGCATCATTCAGCATCCTCAGCAACTTACTAGTTTACTTAGCAAAACAAGTTTCTTGACCTTAAGGTAATGAAAATAGTTTTGTAAAGACACTTAAAATATCAGAAGCCGGAGGAGGGGCTGAGTGGGATTTGCCGTGGCTGGAGGCGGAACTTGGTTGCCATATGCAACCAAGTCCTGACTGGGTGGCTGCATGGGGCTCAGCCGCTAACAGAGTAACAAAACCCAGATCCATTCAGTGCAAGCACACACTAAATGCATTGTCCAGTCTGGTCCTCAGAGTGACAAATGCTGGGCTGCTTACTGGATCTCCCACTTTTGCAGATCTCTGGTGGACATTCGGGTTATTCAGGGGCCTGGCTCTGGAGTTGCCTTTGAAAGAGGCCACAGCAGAGCACATGGCTGGCATCCTGGCAGCAAGGAGGGCCCACCTTCCAGGAGCACGGCCCTTTTGGCATGTCTCCCTGTGGGAATGTTGAGGACAGTAGGAGAGGATATATTAATTAATACGGGGTCAGCAACCTAAGGCCCATGGGCCACAAGCGGCCGTGGGGGTTGTTTAACCGGCCCATGGACCCCCACCACCTGCTTGCGGCAGACTGCCTTCCGGGACACTGGCCAACTTCCCATTGGTTGCAGGAAGCTCCTGCAGCCAATGGGAAGCTGTGCACGCCTCCTCCGCGCTGGAAGGAGCACCGGAAATAGCATTTGCGCGTGTGCGCACACACACACACACTCTGGACCACTGCGGCCTCTGTGGGACCGTGAATTGTGAGAATCACTTGAGTTAAGCAATCCAGTCTGGCTTGTCCAGACTGGATTTGTTCCTGGTAAATCCCCTTGTGTTCCCTCTTAAAAACAATAATGACACAATAGTCTTCTTTAAGAAACTAATGATAAGGTTTACTCACACAGTCTACAGTGTGATCCTGAAGGCAGGCTTTAGCTTGTAGTTACAGATACAGAGAAATGTGTGGGTTCACCCTCTTTTGAGGAATGAGCCCATGTGCTGCTGGCTGAGAGCCACACACAGCAAAAAAGGTATCAAGAAGAGTCGAGAGGAAGAGCATCAAGAGGAAGAGGGAAATGGCTGCGTGACTGGCCCCTTTGTAGGGTCTGCCAGGGTCACGCCCATCTACCTGGTCACACGCAGGGGGAGGATGCTCCAGACGAGGCGTGACAGGAAGTCCTCCTGGCTGGAGCAACATTCCCCTGCGTGTCCACTCTAGTCAAACAGGAAATGTTGTACTTGACTGCTTATGTCACATCCCACACTCCCTGCAGGCGCAGCCGGTGCCAGATGAGCTGGTGACAAAACTTCTGGGGAACCAGGCAACATTCAGCCCCATAGTGACAGTGGAGCCACGCCGCAGGAAATTCCACCGCCCCATTGGGCTGCGCATCCCCCTGCCCCCTTCATGGAGGGAGAACCCCCGGGACAGTGGGGAGGGCGATACAACCAGCCTGCGGCTCCTCTGCAGCGTCATAGGTGAGTAGAGATAACTGGTGGCGTCTTTTGGGGCTGGAGCACAAGCCTCCCTCCTGCTCTTCATTTTGTTGCTCACTTGGCAGGTTCCAAAGTTGCAGCTTGAGGCGGATGGCAGAGAGATTTCAGGGATTTGGTGGGAGAGGCAATGGAAGGGAGCAAATGTTCCACCGTTGGCAGCAACTGCCTGTGATTTCACCCCTAGGGTGAGGGCAAGAAGATGTGCGCTCACTCTGCTTTCAGAGAGATGCTCCTTGATGGCAGCAGCGGTAGAGTGAGGGGAAATGCTTTAGGAGGACATCATGCGGGAGAGGGAAGGGTGGTTGGGGGGTGAGCCAGGTACCACTAAGAATGGAAAAGAGGAAAAGGTAAGCCAGGCAGCAGTTTCAAGGAAGCTCATCTACCCCACTGGCACTCCTGCTCTCCCTGCAAATCTTTTAGTGCTGTCTCTTTCTTGGGTGGGCTGCTCTTTCAGGGGCCCTTCATCAGTTTTGGTCTGCTGGTTGGCTCTTTTTAGTGGTTCAGGGGCTCAGCTATGCCCTCTGCCTCTGGGGAGTCTTGTCCTTTCATCACAGATGTTTTTGGATGATAGCTCTCATCGGCCCTGGCCTTGTATGGCTGGGCTGCCTGAGGCTAATGGAAAGCAGAGCCCAAAAACATCTGGAGGGCACCAGGTTGGCAAAGGCTGAGCTAGGGAATCCCCCACAGGTGGCTGCCCAGGTGGATGTCTTCTGTGCTGGAGATGCAATGCATTTTCCCAGCAAGGTATTTATTCTTGTTTTGTACTTGGGAAAACATCCCCCTATCCATTTTTTTTGTAATTATGTATTTTATCATTTCCATGCATAAAGCAGTTTACTATTAACAATGCAAAGTTAACAGCAAAAATTTGCACACCCCAGAATCGAAGCAAACTTTTTAAAATAACTGAGCCAAAAGATTCCTAATCATAATTCTTCCAACACCAAATCTCCACGCCATCAATTTTGGATCAGCCCAGACAAGATCTTAAGTCTGAAATAAAGTGAAGTCACAATGACAGTGCTAAGATTTGCTGGGTTTAAGAACAAGCTTCTACATAAACTATAAAAGGATCCTGTGTTTGTTTCCTTTATTTAGCAGATTCATACCCTACCTTGCAATCAATTGATTCTCAAGGCGACTTACAAGTAACAGGTAATAATGCAAAGAACCCTGAACTCACACATGCCAGGATGACCCAACAGCCTTCAGTTCTGCGGCTGACGGAGGGGGTCAAAGCAAGATTCCCTTCGGCCATCCCAGAGCAGCTGGCAGTTGGAACAGAGTGTTCTTTCTGGTGGAGTAATGGTTAGAGTGTTGGACTAGCACCTGGGAGCCCAGGTTTCAAATGGCCTCTCAGCTGTGAAGTTTGCTGGGTGCCATGGGACCAGTCACACCCTCAGCCTCAGTTACTTCACGGCCGTGGCATCGCAGGGGGCGGTGCCATGTTGGGGGGGTGACAAGGCACCCCGTGGGCGCAGCTGCGAACAGAGGGTCCTGCCACTGTCCGTATGGTGTTTGAGTGGCGCCGGCAGCAAACCGTTACGTACAATGCATGCGCGGTGTCGCGCACATGCGCTGTACATAGTGACGCCGCACATGCACTGTACATAGCAGTTTTTCGCCAGCGCCGCTTGAGCACTTTATGAATGGTGGTGGGATCCCTCCGGTGCCACTACAGCCACAAGCGGAGGATCCCGCCACCATATGTACGGCGCTTGGGCGGTGCCAGCAGCAAACCGCTACGTACAATTCATGGGCGGTGTCTCACACATGCATTGTACGCAGTGACACCGCACATGTGCCCTACGCAGCAACCCAATGCATGCATTGTATGTCGCAGCACAACGCATGCCCCACCCCGGGTGTCGGTTAGCCTTCATTTGCCCCTGCTTCACAGGGTTGTTGTGAGGTCAGGTGGGGAGGGGTGGGCTGGGGAGGACGACACCATTACCTCCTCTGTGGAAACGAACAATTACAGCAAAGCTTCCTGCAGCTGCTGCTTCTCTGACTGGTGCTTGAGATCAGGCCAGTCTTTCCCTGGTGGTTGTCTTTATTTTCATCCTCAGTAACTCAGTGACAGAGCATCTGCTTTGCATGCACATAGTCCCACGTTCCATCCTTGGCATCTCCAGGGAGAGCTGGGAGGGCTCTTGCCACTCAGCGTAGGCAGTTCTGAGCTGGTGGGACCAACAGCCGGACTCAGTGCAAGGCAGCTTCCTGTATGCTGTGATCTCAGGTGAGCAGCAGAGCAGCAGCAAGGAAGGTTGCTTGGTGGTTTGGCAAGAAATTATGCATGGTAGTGAGCAATGGAGGGGGGGGTGCCGCTTGGGTGCATCTCTCCATCCCTGTGACCTGCGTAACCTCACGGGGAGGAAGGAACCAGGATGTGCTGGAAGAAGAACCAGTGTGACTGCCTGCATCGCTGGGTGGACTGGAATAAAACGTTGTTGTTGTTACATTTATATCCTCCCTTTTTCTCCAAGGAGCTCAAGGTGGCATATGTGGTTCTCCCCACCCCACCCCACCCCACCCCACCCCGTTAATCCCTACGCCAACCCAGTGAGGGAGGTTGGGCTGAGAGGCAATGACTGGCCCAAGGTCACCCAGGGAGCTTCATGTCCAAGTGGGAATTTGAGCCCTGGTCTACCAGGTCCTAGGCTGACATTCTAACCATTACACACCATACTGGCTGGAGAGGTGGCATATAAATATATTCCGTAAACATTAGAAATAAATATCAACACAGAGCTCACAGAATATTCTCCAACTGCAGAGCAGGCCCCTTTTCTTCAGGACTTTGCAGCTGAAGTGGAAACTGAGCATGCCAGCGGAATGAAACACTGGCTCAGTTCTCCCCCTTCCCCGGTGGTTTCTGCCTTTTCCATTTTAAGTGCTGTGTGAACATTCAAGTGTTGAAAAATTCATCTGTAACCTAGGTCCCCCCCCCCTTTTAATTAATGTACTCAAATGCAAAACTGTGCTGTGCACCTGAGGAGGTTCTTGGGGCTAGGGGCCACCAATCAGTGCAGCCAGGCTTCTGCTTAAAGCCTCCCCACACACCCCCCGGCCCCCAGAGCTCAAGTCCAGGGCTGGCTTGGGCCCGCTGGGACTGCTGAAGTGGAAGGTAGCCAGGCCAGTGCCAGGCAAACCCAACTTCCTCTAGTTTGTTTCCCATCCTCTTCCTCTGAGTTCTGCAAAGGCAATGCTAGAGGAGCCTGGCAACCGGCGACACATTGGGCTGGTTGGAGAGCAGCGTGAGGTTGGACCTAATGGACCAGCCTTCCCGGCTCAAATCTGGGAAAGTGCATTTTGGACTGAAGGCTGCGAGGGCCCTTCCAGGTCAGTCTGCCTGCTCCAAAAACCTCCTGTGCACACCTGTGTGCTTTCTCCCCACTCTCTTGTCTCAGGAGGAACAGCCCCAGCACAATGGGAGGACATCACAGGGACCACAAAGCTTGTCTATGCCAACGAGTGTGCAAACTTCACCACCAATGTTTCTGCCAGGTGAGCCTGAGGGGCCATTTGGGGGAGTTGCCTGCATCGCACCTCAAAGTGACAATTAAACTGGCATAGCTTTGGAACATAGAAAAAGGTTAACCAGAGGCAGACCTGTTTAGGGAAGTTTTTAATGTTTGACATTTTAGCGTGCTTTTAATATTCTGTTGGGAGCTGTCCCGAGTGACTGGGGAAACCCAGCCGGATGGGTGGGGTATAAATAAATTGTTGTTGTTGTTGAAAGTCTGAGAAATAGCTCAGCTTCCTAAATTTCTGGTTACGGCCGGGTGGTGAGCCAGTGGCTTCTTCCATGTGCCCCTTTCCTCTTCCTGCCCAGGTTCTGGCTGGCAGACTGCCCGTGCACAGCCGAAGCCATCCATTTTGCTATGCTGCTTTACAAAGAGCTGGCGGCTGTGCCCTACATGGCCAAGTTCGTGGTGTTTGCCAAAATGAACGAGGGCCGCGAGGGCCGCCTGCGCTGCTACTGCATGACCGACGACAAAGTGGACAAGACGCTTGAGCAGCATGAAAACTTCACTGAAGTGGCACGCAGCCGGGACATTGAGGTAGCTCCCCTGGTACCTGGGGCCCTGCCCTGCTAGAGGTCTTGGCGGAGGGACAGGCCGCCGTCTAGAAGGAGCTTTTTAAGTGCTGTCATAGCCCTTGCCTATTGTTAGTAGCATGAGAATTGTACATTGCAGTGGTTTCCAGACAGTGATTTGTGACCTTCATTCAAATGGTTTGTAGTGTGTCTGCAAAAATGCAATTAAGAGCGGTAGACTCGTAATCTGGTGAACCGGGTTCGCGTCTCTGCTCCTCCACATGCAGCTGCTGGGTGACCTTGGTCTAGTCACACTTCTCTGAAGTCTCTCAGCCCCACTCACCTCACAGAGTGTTTGGTGTGGGCGAGAAAGGGAAAGGAGAATGTTAGCCGCTTTGAGACTCCTTAGGGCAGTGATAAAGCGGGATATCAAATCCAAACTCTTCTTCTTTACAATTGCTACAACAGGCAGAAAAATTATTTAGTGGCCCTCTAAGACCCTCAACAATTTTAAAGCGGTTTGCTGGGGAGGGGGAGTTTAGCTCAAATGCCTCCTTATTGATTGATTGATTGATTGATTGATTGAAAAAACAAGCATGCCAGAGCAAAGTAGCTGCCCAACATACCTTCTAGGATGGCCTTAAACCTGTGCCATGACAGCGTTTCATGATGAGCTGCCATTTCTGGAGGTGGAGCATAACCCTTTCAAAGGCTTGGAGACCTTACTGCCTGTTTCTGCAGGTGGTGGAGGGGATGCCCCTGCACACAGAGCTTTCTGGGAACCTGGTGCCCATCAAGAAGGCCACCCAGCAGCGCAGCTTCCTGTTCCAGTCATTCCGGGAGAACCGCCTGATCATCCCTGTCAAGGTGAGAGGCAAGGGGGTCAGCAGGATGCTTTGGGAGTAAAAGCGCTGGGCTCTGATCGACCAGCCTGCTGCTGCTCTCACTTGTGTTGCCACTGAAATTCATCATGATCTGGTTGGCAATCATGTTTTCCCAGCTTGTTTGCTTCTTTGAATTTATATACCACCCTATATACACAGCTCTAAGGGCAGTTCACAGAATAAAATCAGAATATAAAACCACAAAATACACAAAATAAAAACAACAACAACCCAATAACCCCTCCCAAAAAACCCACACTTTAAAAGCTTGTGGTGCCCAGATACAGGGCCCAGGCCTGTTGTTGGATGAAGTGGAGCAGCTGCTTCAGGTGGCAGGAGCTGGAGGGCAGCACACCCACACCTGCTTCCCGCTGCGCAGTGGACAATACCCTCCCATCACCAGCATGGAAGCACAAGCCAGCGGTCCGTCCTGTCCCTGCAGTGGGGAGCAGGTGCCATCTCCCCCTCAGAGAGGACGTGGCTCCAATACATCACAAGTCCCACATCGCTTTGGCTCAGGACCTAGTCTTTCTCTTGAGCCCACCTGCAGGTGCATAGGCCAGGAGATGCGCGAGGAACCTGTGTCCAGTTGGTGTTGGTCTCCCCATCTGTTCAGCTCCTTAAGGAACTCTGGAAATTGTAGCTCAGTGAAGGGAGCAAGGTGTGGAGGGGGCCAAAAAAGACATCACAAGCTTGGAGAAAACTTGTGGAGCACAGTTTCCAAACACTTGTTGAGAAAGCCGATCAGCACTGATCCTGACTCTGAGGAATAGATCACTCCCGTCCATTGTTCTCCTCACTTCCTGGGGTTATAGGGAGCCTTCAGTCCCATTCCTACAACGGCCCCACTGCCTACTGGTCCGTTTCCAGGCACGACTCAAAAGGGCTGATGATGGCCCATAAAGCCCTGTGAGATTTAGGTCCAAGCTCTCTGAAAAACCACATTCCCCCCTTTTCTCGGTCCTGCCACCCTCACAAGCCCACTTGCATGGACGTGGGAGAGGGCCTTCTTGGTGGCTGCTCTCAGATTGGAACTCCCTCCCGGGAGAAGTTAGACAGGCTCCCTCCCTGCGGTCCTGGAGTCCCTTTCTGAGAACAAGGCGGTATAAATAAATAATTGTTATCATGATAATAATTCTCATTCCAGGAGGCTTTTGGGAACTGACTGCATTTAGTGAAAGGGCTGGTACTGTGCTGTTTTTATTGTAATTTGCTGCATCTCTCTCTTTCTCTCTTTCTCTCTCTCTCACACACATATTGTTTTAGTTCAATAAATGTATAATTGTTTTTAAATTATTGGGTTTCAAAAAATGTTTTTAGTTGTTTCTGTTTTATTCATAAGCTTAACTGAGTCCTTGTCAGGAAGAAAAGCTGCGTAGTAGTAGTTGTAGTAGTAATTAATAATAATAATAATAATATTGGGGGCAGGTGCGAGACAGCAGCCGGGAAGCCAGCGGCTCCTTGTCCTTCCTCCGCAAAGCCATGAAGTACGAGGAGCTCCAGCATGTCCTCTGCCACCTGAACATCACAATGCCGCCCTGTTCCAAGGTGAGTCCCGCCTGAGCATGTGATTTATTTAGTCGTTAAACGCAGAGCTTTTTCCCCAGGAGGAACTTGGTGGAACTCAGTTCCGGCATCTCTCAGGGGTGTTCTGGTGGCTGTCAGGTGGGCACCATCACCATTGTAAGAGAACAAGGGAGGCGTTTTGGTAAGTTCCAGCCACTCTTTTTCTAGAAAAATAGTACTGATTAAACTTATTAGCCACCTGTCACCCAGAGGGTCTCTAAGCAGCTTACATAAAATATATGTATGCATAAATACATCACCAGATAGAAAAGGGTTGGGGAAAGTCATATAACACATTGTCTAAAGAACTGTTAACAGTTTCACTAATTGCAGCTGGATGGGCCCTAGCACAGTACGGTGGTACCTCTGGTTACGTACTTAATTCGTTCTGGAGGTCTGTTCTTTTTTTTTTTTTATAAAAAATTTTATTGGTTTTACAAAGTTTTTAAAACAAACAAACACATAAAAAGACATACAAACACGTATAATTTCATAACATTTTTTCATAAACCTCTTTCCCGGGACTCCCCCATACCCCCCTTTCTGCATCCCAATGTCCATAATTTTTTAGCAACTTCTAAATATTTTTCCCAACCTCTTTCATCTTAATCTTTCCTTTAGTCTAATCTTATATCACTGTAACCCTTTCTTTCTGAAAACCTCGACATTCTAGCATTCATCAAGTTTATAGTAGTCCTTAAGGTAAATTTTAAATTTCTTCCATTCTTCTTCCGCCGTCTCTTTTCCCTGATCACGGATTCTGCCAGTCATCTCAGCCAGTGTCATATAGTCCATCACTTTCATCTGCCATTCTTCCAGAGTGGGTAGATCTTGTGTCTTCCAATACTTTGCAATAAGTATTCTTGCTGCTGTTGTAGCATACATAAAGAAAGTTCTGTCCCTCTTTGACACCAATTGGCCGACAATGCCCAAGAGAAAGGCCTCTGGTTTTTTAAGAAAAGTACATTTAAGTACCTTTTTCATTTCATTGTATATCATTTCCCAGAAATCCTTAATCCTTGGGCATGTCCACCAAAGGTGATAAAAAGTACCTTCAGTCTCTTTACATTTCCAACACTTGTTATCAGGCAAATGGTAGATTTTTGCTAGCTTGACTGGGGTCATGTACCACCTGTAAGTCATTTTCATAATGTTTTCCTTTAAGGCATTACATGCCGTGAATTTAATACCGGTGTCTGGAGGTCTGTTCTTAACCTGAAACTGTTCTTAACCTGAAGCACCACTTTAGCTAATGGGGCCTCCCACTGCTGCCGCACAATTTCTGTTCTCATCCTGAAGCAAAGTTCTTAACTCGAGGTACTATTTCTTGGTTAGCGGAGTCTGTAACCTGAAGCGTATGTAACCCGAGGTACCACAGTATGGTAAGGAATTAGACAATCTATCCATGCAATTTTCGTATAAGAACAATTGGTTTGTTACGGTCTCAGAAAAGACAACATTCAGTTTAATACTGACACAAGGTCAAGCAAAACTGCAAGATTTCAGTGCAGTAAGGCAGGGCTTCCTCCCATTTGCCATGTGTCTCTGCTCCTCCCTCTCTCAGTGGCTCCTGGAGGCAGGAAATCACCAGCCTTTCCAGACCCTCCAAGTGTCCCTATTTTCCAGGGACATCCCTGATTTAGAGAAGCCTTCTGATTTGATCCCGGAATGTCCCACTTTTCCTTAGGATGTCCCTATTTTCATTAGAGAAATGTTGGAGGGTATGGAGTTATCTGACCCCTGAGCCGTCTGAAGGCAGCCCTGTATAGGGAAGGGTTTTTTGGTGATTATGTTTTTATATATGTTGGAAGCTGCTGAGATGCTGGCTGGGGCATCCCAGTCAGATGTGTGGGGTATAAATAGTAAAATTATCATTATGGAATGGTCTGTCCCTATTTTTATTGGACAAATGTTGGAGGTTATGCCTTTCCTTGATGCCCCCAGAGTTCCGGCAGTGAGGAGCGAAGGAGAACGCTGACGCCGCTAGCCTTGCGTGAGAGATACAGCCTCCCCAGCGACAGCACCCTGGGTAAGAGTCCTTGGGGCCAGAAGAGTGGCCTTGGCAGGGCAGCTCATAGGTCAGGAAATGGAACTGGGATTCAAGACGGCCTTTTGCCATTAGTCTGAAGGGAGACATTCTGGTCTCTCTGAGTGAGGTGGGATCTGTGCACCCTTTTATCGCTTCAGCTGTGTTTCTAGATTTTTATTGGATGTTCTTTCAGTACAACTGAAAAGCAACTGACGATGATGATGATGATAGGAGATTTCTGCAGGCAGGGAGTTTATATGTTCCTCTGTTTCCTTTGTGGAAAGCTAGCATCCCAGGTGGGTTGGGTGCCAGACTACTTGATGGTAACAGCTTCAGGCAGTATAGAAATTTTAATAATAATAGTAGTAGTAAAAGTAGAGAAACTGAACAGGATTTGTGACTGAGACCAGGGCAAAGTTGAGTAAGGGACCAGTCAGCCTCTTGACCTTGTTAACAACCTGCTAACAACCTGCACAATGCCAGAGATCCCAGCAGTGACCTTGAGTTTTGTGCCCTGTCTTTGCCCAAAACTTACTCTGCTTCCCCCTTCCTCCCCCCCCCCCAGGCTCAGTAAGCAGCACAGAGAAGGACAGAACAGACATGAAGATGGCTGTCATTGCAGAGCATTTGGGCCTCAGTTGGGCTGGTGAGTGACACTGGTGTCCTTGCAAAAAAGGGGTGAAAGGCCCTTCCAGGCGTCCCTTTCATTGTACTTTCATGATTTGTTCTTCTGGAGGCATCGAGGCGCTTATACACAATGCTGCTGCCAATACTGTTTGTGCCTGCAAGTGTTTTGGGGCAGACATACGGCCTCGTTTCCAACTGGCACTTGTTGCGTAACTTCCTGCTGACATCCTGCCATTTCCCATGCCACAAATATTCCCATCTGTTCCCACAACTGACCTCAGACGCTCTGAGTTCCCAGCACTCTGGGCTTGCTGGCTGGGAATCTTTCCTGCTATTATCCCACACACTCCCTGTGGGTTTTTTTGTTTTGTTTTTTGTGAACACCCACCTGGCAAAAAAGTCTCCAGAACCCTTGTCTCCCAGCTCGGTCACTGGGATCTTCTGCAGGAGCCTCTTGCTGGCCGTTCCCCAAGTTGGCCAGGCTCATTTGGCAACAGCAAGCACTGAGCCTTCAGTGTCAGGGGCCCAGTTGTAGGGAAGACTCTGCCTGGGGAGATTCAGCAGGTACCTCCTGTGCCAACTTGGAAATGCAGCTGGAACCGTTTCTGCTCCATTAGCCCTCAGCAACCAGGAGCACATCCTTCCATATCTGATTACAACAGCTGTGTGTGGTTTTTCTTGTGTGATTTCGCACATAGTTCTTGTAAACCAATAATAATAATAATAATAATAATAATAATAATAATAATAATAATAAAAAAATTTATTACTTGTACCTCACCCATCTGACTGGGTTGCCCCAACCACTCTGGGCAGCATTTTAATGTTTTTCTAAATATATAGCTAAACTGCATCAAGTGTGGCATTCCCCATAGCAGGGAGGGGTGAGGAACTTCAGGCCTTCCTGTCCGACTCTTGGTGCTGCCCTTGGGCCACACCCCTCACTAGCCCTTGTTTTGCATGCACAGAGTTTTTGGCTGGCTGGGATGTGTCCCTGGATTCTGACAACGCCTCTTGCTTGCCTGGAGACAAGGCAGAGAGGAGCACCGGCCTGTGTGCAGAAACCAGCCCCCTGTGCAGCAGAAGAGTCCCTTCCATTGCTCTCCCGCCACCCTGGCATGTGGCCCTTGGAAGGTTGCTCTGCATGCTGGCCCTCGGGCTGCAAAAGGTTCACTGCCCCCGGCACAGAGGGCCGGTCGCAGGGCCTTCCTGCTCCCCCCCGCCCATGTCTGATGGCTGCTGTGCTTTGTGTCTCTTTCCTGGCCCCGCCACCCCCCACTCCCTCCAGAACTGGCCCGGGAGCTGCAGTTTGGTGTGGATGACATCAATAGGATCCGTGTGGAGAATCCCAACTCCCTTCTGGAGCAGAGCCTGGCCCTGCTGAACCTGTGGACCAGCCGTGGCGGCCAGAGTGCCAACAGTGCGTATTAGCAAGGGGGCTGGGGGCGCATGGGCTTCACCTCTTGCTGTCCTGAAGAGGGAGGCCACACACCACCAGAACTGAGGTTCCCCCGGGGGACTTTCCTTTGCACATGACCACATTCGATACACGGCATTCCTTCACCCTCACCCATCAAAACATTGAATGCATCGCACATTGGAGCAGCTGGCCATGCCGGACCCCCCTCAGGCCTGCTCTTTCCTGGTCTGGGCCGGCAGTGAGGGGGGCAATGCTCCTCATTTGTGCATGGCTAGTCTCCCTAAAGGTACATTCTTGGGGATCTTCTGCCAGCATTCATTTCCTCCCTGGTTGTGAGGAGAACCTCCCTGGTTTTCTTCCTTGAAAAGTACCTAGAGTTGAAAGGAAGTCAAAAGAAGGACAGTCTTTCCTACATCCTCTTCCAGCTCTACATGCTTTTCAAGGCGCAAATTCATTCCACCGGATCCAACTGTTATGTGGACAAGTGAAGCCTGTTTCGTGGAGTTTCATGAAAACACAAATAAACCTTGTGGGATTTGGTGACACTTTCTGCAGAGGAATACAGGCAAGCTATTCAGAACAAAAAGCGAAACTCATTATAAATAGCAACATCACGGAGGAATGCAATATAAGGAAGGGAACCAGGCAAGGGTGCCCCTTGTCTCCATTATTTTAGTATTGGAAATCCTGAATAAAAAGAGAAGAGAAGAAGGGAAGATAAGAGGTATAGTGTTGGGGGGAAATCTTATAAACTCAAAGCCTTTGCTGATGACCTGATAAAAATGACAGAGAACCTAAAGGAAAGTCTATTGAGAACACTAGAGTTGATAAATGAATTCGGGAGAGTGGCGGGTTTTAAACTTAACACAAAGAAAATCAAATCATTGGTAAAAAAATATGGATGCGCAAGGAAAAAAACGAATTACAAGTTATATGCGGCCTGGAAATTAGCAAAAAAGTGAAATATCTGGGTATATGGTTCACAGCTAAGAATATCAATTTATTCTAGGATAACTATGTTAACACTTGGAAGGAAATCAAAAAGAAACTGGAAATTTGGAGCAGGCTAAATATCTCTTTTGGGGGAAGAATTTCCACAATAAAGATGAGCATACTCCCAAAAATGATTTTCTTGTTTCAGTCCATTCCGGTGATAGGGATGGCAGGCTGCTTCAAAGATTGGCAGAAGGATATATCAAGATTTATCTGGAATGGGGGGAAACCTAGAATTAAACATAAATTATTGATTGATATAAGAGAAAGAGGAGGATATAAGAGAAAGAGGAGGATTTGCACTATCAAATTGTTTAGATCTAGGACAATCAATTGCTGGAAATGCAAGGAGGCTGAAGGCACATGAATCCACATGTGGTGGAACTGTAAAAAGATTAGATCGTTCTGGGAAATGATTTATAGCGAGCTGAAGAAAATGTTCAAATGTTCCTTCCCTAAAAAGCCGGAAGCCTTCCTGCTAGGAATTATGGGTAATGAAATTCCAAAAAAGTTTAGGAGAGTCTTTATGTATGTTACAGTTGCTGCCAGAATGTTAATTGTAAAAGGCTGGAATGGAGAAGATATCCCATTCAAATCAGACTGGCAAAATAAACTGAGAGAGTATGCTGAACTAACGAGACTATCAGCAAGGTTACGAGACGTTACAGATGAAAAATTTAACAGAGAGTGGGACATATATAGTGTTTGTGTAAAGGAACATTGTCAAAATATTAATCTGTTGGCAGTTATTGACTGAACTTCTGTGGGTGAATAGGATAATATAATACTTAAAGTAAGCCAAACAATGTGGAGAAAATAAAGTGAAGTGTGCATCCAAGAAATATAATCTGGGAATATAATGGAAGAGGGGAGGTCACGTTGAAATCAATTGCAAAATGGTGTAAAAAGCAAATAACTGAGGAACGAATGACTGGATTTTTTTTTTTTTTACCTTTTATGCTGTCTTCAACATCTAATGATCATTTTTGTTATACAATTTTCAATTACCGTAATTTTCGCTCCATAACACGCACTTTTTTGCTCCTAGAAAGTAAGGGAAAATGCCTGTGCGTGTTACGGAGCGAATGCACGGATCGGAGCCATGGCTGCCGTCAGTCAAGCAAAGCGGGAGCCGCTTACACGCTCTACGAGGCTCTCACTTTGCTTGCTTTAAAGCGACCTGGAGCCGGGGAGGAGGGAGGGAAGGAGAGCCATAGCAGCAAAGCCGGCAGCAGCCGCTTACACGGGAGGAGGGACAGACGCTAGCAAAAGTTCGAGTGCTCTCTAAACAGAGCAATGAGGCTGCAGAGGGACGGCAGGAAAGATAAAATTTAAGCAACCAGCAGCAAAATAAAACCAACCTCGAGCTCTGAGCCAGCGCAGTGAAAACCAGGAAGTAAAAAAAAAGGCTGGGGATGAGGGAGAGGGGAAAACTTCGCAAATCCCCTGCGTCTCAGCTGATCCGCTGGGAGGGAGCAGCTTGTTTTCAGGCAGGATAGATTTGAGCATTGTCTGGGTCCTAGTGCCCCTATCTCTTTTTTGTGCTCCATTCTATTGCTGCTGGTGGCTGCTTATCATTCAGGCTGCAAGGAGGAGCGCTTTTACACAGCTAATGGCGAATCCCCTGCAATCCAAGTCCTCCTCACTTGCTCAAATCTATTCTGCCTCAAAACAAGGAGCGGAAGGAAAAGGCTGCAAACTGTTAAATGGAAAAAACCCAGGCACAGGGCAAATACCTTAAGTGTACCTTTAAAGCAACAGTGCTCTTTCCCTCCCTCCTCCCTGCTCAGCTCGACGAAAAGCTCCTTCTCCACCCACCCCACGCGTGCTCCTTGTCCCTTGAGTTCTTTTCCTTCCCTCCCCACTTAAAACGTGGTTACAAAGCATGGATCCACATGGATCCTCAGGATTTTTGCACTGGGCTACCCCAAACTCACTGTCAGATCACATGTCTGTGGCCACAGCATGAACCATAAAAATCATACACCCACAGTTTCATTTAGAATATTTTTTCCTTGTTTTCCTCCTCTAAAAACTACGTGCGTGTTATGGTCAGATGTGTGTTATAGAGCGAAAAATACGGTAATAAAGCATGGGGGGAGGGGAGAAAAGAAGAAGAAGAAGAAGCCTGCAGGTGCTGGACAACCTGTTCCTGCTGCATTCCATGATAGATGGTTGCAAAAATGAATCCCCTGCTGTCACGTCTGGCTGATATGTCTCCTTCCTCTTCTCCTTTGGCAGTGGAAAACCTGTACACGGCTCTGCGCAACATAGACCGCAGTGAGATCATCAACATGCTGGAAGGCTCCTCCCGGCAAAGTCGTAGCCTGAAGGGAGACAAACGCTACTCCAATCGGGATTACTCCCTGTCGCCCTCCCAGATGAATGGTGAGTGCCGGCCCAGATCCTGCCGCACCAGATCCTTGCCTGGTGTCTCTTGTGAACCCGGAGTCATGTGCCCAGGCTAGGCTTGCGCAGGTCTTTTCAGTGTGACTGCCCCTCCCTCCCCCCTCCCTCTGGATTTCTGCTGCCCCCTTCAGCCCATTTTGTGGTCCCTGAGGTCAACCAGCTACCTGCCTGCTAAAAACCCCTCCTGGCTGGCAGCTTCCTTCCCCTTTGGCCTCAGCTAGAACCAGCCAACTCTAAGCTCACACCCTGGTGGGGTGGAATAAATCCACAGACCCCCAGGGAATGCCGTGGGGGGATCAGGTGCTGGGGCACACTGGGTGTCTTTGGGCAAGGGAGGCAAGAGCATAGCTGGGAGGGCCAGCGAGGGCCACAGCCAGGTGTTAGAGAACAGTTGGGAGTGAGGACACACCCACATTTCCCCTGGTCTCCTAGTTTTCAGTTTGCCCCACCTCTTTCCTTGGGAAAACCCACTCTTTATCACTGAAGCAGAACAAACACCCATCCATGGGAAACCCATTCAGTGAGGAGGAGGAGCTTTTCCTGGGGGGAAGCAGCGAGACAAGCGGAAGGGTGGACAAGCCCAGGGTCCTGGAGTCTAAGGGGCAAAGTGGCTGTGGTGCCATGTGCCCCGCTGCATACAGAGGGCGCTGGTGGTCCATAAAGTGAATAGCGGGGGGGGGGGGTCCAGACTGGGACCCTGGCATTAGGAAGCGGCTTTTGCAGAAAGATAGGCGGTAGGAATGCAGACTTGTGGCGATGCAGGGGGGAGGGGTAAGGAGCACACCTTCTGTGGTGCACAGAGATAGGAAAAGCTGCGTAGATCCAGAGAGAGGCTGCCCTGAGAGAGGGAATCTGAGGTTGGTGCAGAGAGAGAAAGAGGCCCTGCAATGGTGCAGCTCAAATGGCCTCTAGGGATCAGGCCTTGGGTTGGCGCAAGGTGTGCCTGGAGATGGGGGCAGAGAGGTTCTGGGCTTTGAAGCCTGGACCCTGGGCTCCAGCTATCAGTCGCATTGCGCATCAGGAAGAGGGTGTGGGCTGGTGTGGCTTAGTGGGCCCTGGGAGCCAGATCAGCAGCCAACCCTGTGGTCAAGAGTGCTGCACACGGGGGTTCAGAGGTGTGCGCGCTCATTCCCTCCCCCCTCCCCATCCCAGTTCAATCTGCGTGCTTCCACATGCTATCAGCCTGAGTTGGCTGGCCAGTTGGCGCCTATCCTGACCGTTGTCCTCCGTCCTGGTCCTGACCTCTCTCCTCTTCCTCCTTTTTCTCCTCCACTGCCTGTCTCCACTGTTTCTCTCTCTTTCTCTCTCTCTCATTTGACCTGAGCCGTCCGTCCGAGAGCTTTTGCCCTGCTGATGAATGCATGTTGTGCCTGGCTGGACCTGGCAGCCATGCCAGGCTGAATGTTGCCACTTTGCCCTTTGCTGCTACCCGCCCTCCCTTCCTGGCTTCCCTTCCTTGCCCAACGGCTGCTAGCAGAGCCTGGGGAAATGGGAAGGGCTTCCCTTCAGCCTGCTGATCCCAAAGCCCCCCTGGGCCGCTTGACTCTCCCAAAGGTCAACCCCCCACCCCACCCCCGCACGGCTGAGCAGGCAAAGTCCAGCCGCAGCAACTGTGGAAAAGCTGCATGGAGCAAGAGTCCCCCTCACACACACGGCACACCTGCGGGAGGCCTTTGCTCCCCTGATTCCCCTGCCACCGGGTGAAGCAATTGCCCTTCCCGTTGCTCTTTATCCACAATTACACAGCACTATCAATAAGCGACATGGTGCTTTATAGAGCTTCGCTAATAAATAGGTCTTGGTCCCCAAGGAACTTGCAGCCTAAATGTCAATAGTGGGGGAGGCAAAGAAGAGAACGGGGTGGGAGATCGGTCTGGCAAGGAGTGAACATGAGCAGATTAAAGCTACAAGGGCTCTTCAGAATCCAAAAACTCACCTTTCCTATGAAGTCTCAGAGTAAGCCCTTTAATCCTCATGCCCAGGTGTAGCCAGGTGTAAGTAAGGGGGGCTACAAATGCTCTCCAGCATCCCTGGTTCTCATTGACTCCCCCCTTCCCTGCTGAGATACACTGAGGTGCGTCTCACACTTTCCCCAGGCTTCTTGCCAGCTGCTGTGGCCCAGATGCCCACTGCGGGTGCCTCTGTCCCTCTTGCAAAATTGCAGCAGGTGGGTGGTTCATTCCTTGACTGCCTGGAATCTGGTGGGGGCATCTGGGAGCAGCAGCTGCCCAAGGTCAAGAGCAGCTGTAGGGAGCCAGTGGAAACTCTGGGTGCATTGTACTAGGATATGCATCTCTTGCACATTCCTTGGTTGGAGAACAGCCTTGGTAAAATAAGAGAGGTGTCCGTTTCAGAGAATGCTTCTGTCTCCATTCCCATATTGTTTTGGAAATGGAATTTCTCCTCATCCTTCATGGGTTTTGTGCACTGTGTGATTTTGGAGCAAACCTTCCCATTTTGGCTCAGCGAACCCATGCATGCTTAAGATGAAACTGCAGAGGCACCAGCTTCCAAAGGAGAAGAGGGGGCAACATAATGCGGTGCATGATGTCGCACGTGTGACATCAGGACATCGGAGGAGCCGGGGTGGAGCCAAGTGCGGCAGCACCTTCAATGGCCACCAGCCAGGGGCTGCTTCCTCGCTCCTTCCCCTCCACTGCAGGACGAGGAGTTGGCCACTGAAGCCTCACCGTCTGTAGCCTCCTCTGCCACTTTTGAACATAGGGGAAACCCCTCCCAAAAAACATTGGGGGGCCCAAAAGGGCTTGGCCCCTAGGAGATGGGGTCCTTTTCACAGACCAAGCTGCCCATGTACTTCTGTACTTCTGAGGTGGCCCAAGAGCTCTTTCTTCCCTTCAACCCTTTAAATGCTTTGAGCTGGAGAAGGGAGCGTGTCAGTGCCCGCTGGGTGCAAATGAGCCAGCAGAAGGCCGGCACGTTGTATTTATTTACTCCATAAAATGGATGTACCACTGGGTTTTAAGGGGGGGGGGGAACGGACTTAAAGCAGTTTTTAAAAAAAGCAATTCAATTTTAAATAGAAACGGTTTAAAACAGGTATCATTAGAAATTATTCAAAATCATTAAAATCATTCAAAAGATGATTAAAATCAACAGTAGCTAAAAATGCAGCTTCTACAGGTCTGGACAGGGTTGCAGAAGCAGAAAGGTTTTTAGCAGGCGCTGAAAATAATATGGCAAAAGTGTCTGCCTGATGTCAATAGGCAGGGAGTTCCAAAGTTTGGATGCTGCCAGATCAAAATATAGATTTCTTATGAATGCTGGACAGTGTGATTCCTTTTGATGCCTGAACAGGAAAATTCAAATCGTCAGATTGTAGAGTTGGAAGGGACCACAAGGGTCATCTAGTCTTACCCCCTGCAATGCAGGGATCTTTTGCCCAACGTAGAGCTCAAACCATGACCCCGAGTTTAAGATGGAGCCATCCATGACACCCACCTCCAGGCACACATATTTAAGGCACATGGGGCACAACTTACTGGGAATTTCCCTGTTGCATGCCCCATAGGAACTGTGCCCCACAGATCCAGTTGCCTCCCCCTCTGCCACCTTTTGCAGCGCTGAGTGACAGCAGGACCCCAAAAGAACAGCACCAAAAGTACTGTGGCAAAGAGGACTCTAGTCCACGGAAGCCTAGAAGAGCCCATGTGGTGTTCTGCAGCTACTTCAGCACACCTTAAATAAGGGGGGAGTCTTTAAAATGCCCCAAAACTCTTCGTTGGCTTTGGGCTTTGGGCTACAGTGGAACATGTGAGCCAAAGCACCCTGTTTTCGGAGCTGGTAATTTTGCACTTGGGGACCTGATCCGGGAAGCCTCTCCTGTCTGTGCACTTACGTTCAGAGCCATAGGCAACCTGGCTTAGCAGCACTCGTCCCGCCAAGTCCTTCTTCTTTCCGAGTGCAAAGTGTGGGTTGGAGCAAGGCTCTGCCCTTTGGCTGAGCCTTGAGCCTTCTTGGGAACATGTGGGAGAGTTGCTCTCCTCCACACCAAATTCCCAGAGAGAGAGAGGCATTGCAGGTGAAGCTGCTTTGAACCAACAGCAAAGGGGTAAGAGTATAATTATAGTACCTAAGATCTTCAGGGAATGCTTTTGAGTTGCTTAGATTCTTTACAGCCGTTCTCCCGAATCCCTGAAGCACAAGACTGGTTGCAGCTACTCGGTGTTGAGAGAAGTTCCTTTTGCATATGGTCAGAGGCATATTTTCTCTACCTTTGAGCCCCAGTCTCAAAAACCTGGTTCCCTCTCTGGCTTAAATGACAGTCATTTTGAAGAGAAATGAAAGTGAGGTTTGAAAGAGACTCTGCTTCCCACAGCATTTACACACATTTTATTTTGTCTGGCTGCTGCCTCTGATCAAACAGGTATTTAAACAATACCCAAACACTCATGTGGAGCTAAGTCAGTTAGTGGCATATTTGTTCCACAGGGCTTGACTGTCAAACCAGGCTGAGAACTGTAGCACTGAGAGGGGAAGACAACCCTGCTAATAACTCTCGGCTCCTTTAGCAAACTACAGCTCCCAGAATTATTTGAAGGAAGCCATGGCTGTTTAATGTGGTTGGTATCATAGTGCTTTCATAGAATCATGGAATCGTAGAGTTGGAAGGGACCCTGGGGGTCATCTAGTCCCACCTCCTTCAATGCAGGGATCTCAGCTCAAGCATCCATGTCAGATGGCCATCCAGCCTCTCCTTGTAAACCTCCAAGGAAGGAGAGGCCACAACCTCCCGAGGGAGACCGTTCCACTGTTGAACAGATCTTACTGTCAGAAAGTTCCTCCTGGAGTTTAGTTGGGATCTCCTTTCTTCTAACTTGAAGCCATAGGTTTGAGTCCTACCCTCCAGAGTGGCAGAAAACAAGCTTTCAGTGTATGGTATGAATGTGGCCTTAGTTGCACAACAGATTGTGCAATTTGTGGTACAGCAGGCTTCTGCTAGTGCAACTGTTGTCTTGAGTTCCTGTGTTGTGCAATATTAAAACTGACTCTTCCGCTTGTGCAAGAGACCTTGTGCTGGTGGACAGAGGTCACTGGATAGAACCCTCAGTTTCCAGATGCAGGAGTGGGATAAATGTGTTCTCCTCTTTCAAATCACCTCCAACTCCCCCAAAGGGCAATTGTCAGTCTTCAGCTGTCTCTTCATACCCAAGGCCAAGATGGTGCTCTGCTCTCTCTCATTCCATGTAGCCAAGCTTATTAAACTGACCGCTGAATCTTGCCACAAGACTGGGATTTGGACAGCAGCTTTCTCTGCATTTGAGGGGAGGGAGTTAGCATAGGGCTAGGGCTGCCATATTTCGAACAGTGAAAAGGTTTTAGCTTTTCTCTCTTTTTTTGGCAAAAATGGCACTGCCGGCATGGTCTGCCACACGTCTGGATTTTCCAGGACGTTTTACTGATTTCCGCCCACCCACTGCAGCTGATGGCACACCATGGGACTCTCTCACACATTCCATTCTCCAGGATCTTGGCACCGCTCCCTCACTTGGTTTAATAGTAGGGCCGGCCCTGATTTCATCTGCCTTATAGGGCGAGGCCAGTTCTTTGAAGCTGTGGGTTCTTGGAAAGGAGTGAGGGCCTCCCTTCACTTTCTGTGAACAGGAGAGAATCAAAAACCAAATGAAAGAAAACAGCTTTCAGTGAAACAAAACATATAGATAATCCCTAAGTCTTTAATATTAAAATGAAATTTTTTAGTAGACCAGCAGATTTCAAGTCAAAAAACTATGCTTTGGAGAGTGACAGAAAGTGAAAGCAGTTCAAAAAATGAACGAAAGATTGTTTTCTATTTCATTGTTGCCTCTCATATATAAAGGCAATCAATATGTTTGATATATATAAAATAGGAGGGCATGTTGAGGTGCTACATTCTGGACTCTTTATGTTACTATTAAAGACTTGAAGGGAGTTTTCGTACATAAGGCATCAAGGTTTGATGTTTTATTGTGTTTTTAATATCCCATTGGAAGTCGCCCAGAGTGGCTGGGGAGGCCTGGCCAGATGGGCAGGGTTTAAGTAATAAATTATTATTATATTATCATTACAAGGTGTTTTGTCTTGTTTTGTTTCTAACTTCTGCTGAAATAGAATTTATAACGCAATTGCACAAAAAGGCTTGTTTAAGTTACAAGTCCCTCTCCTGATCTTCATGTTTGATACTGATGACTAATCAGTCATTTGCAAAAACTGAGCGAAGGAGAGAGAAAGGCATCAGTGCAACTTGAGCCTTATGTACGGTAGTGCTTGGCTTGGTGACATTTGTTTCCTGATCAGGTTTTCTTTTTAACACTCCCCACTGCCCCATTTCCGCTCTCCTTTACGCCTGACAAGGGACCCTACATTATTCTCTGGGAAACCAGTGCTAGGGGGACACCCCAGGAGGCAGCTGAGGGCAAGGGCTCCAGGGCCCACCAGAAACACGGCATGGTGCAGGGCAGGGCAGGGACCTTTGGCCTGCCCAGCAAAGCTGGACTCCAACTCCCATCAGTCCCAGCCAACATCATGGCCAAAAGTCCAGGACGATGGGAGCTGTAGCTCAGCAACATCTGGGAGCCTACAGGTTAGCTGCCCTGGCATCGGTAAAGACACGGGGCCTTCGCTTCCCGTTTCCATTTGAAATCTGCCATTTGGGTGGCAGCCCGTCTTTGGGGGCGCTCTCTCCACCTGCCCACCCCCAATGGTTTAGCTGGCTTTGCTCACCGCCCCAATGGCTGCATTCTCTTGGACCGATGCGCATTGGGATGGAGACCTTTTGGCGCACAAAGTGTGCACCCCCCTGCGTGCCCCGACGGCTAGAGGTTGCGTGTCCTGCCCTGCGCCCTGCAGCACCTTAGCCTGTCGCCCTCTGTCTGCCCATGCAGGTTATGCTTCGCTGCAGGACGAGCTGCTCTCCCCCGCCTCCCTGCATTACTCACTGCCTTCCCCGCTGCGCGCTGACCAGTACTGGAGCGAGGTGGCCGTCATGGATGCCGTCCCCATGGCCGCCAGCGAGCAGGACGCCCTCATGGAGATGTCCGACATGCAGGTGTGGTCCTCGGGGCTGACGCCCTCGCTGGTGACTGCCGAAGACTCCTCGCTGGAGTGCAGCAAGGCCGAGGACTCGGACGCCACGAGCGAAGGCCGGTTCCCGGGGCAGCTCCTGGAGGACGCGCATGGCCCCGACCCGCTGGGCTCCATGGACCTGGTGGAGGACGACACAGTGGACTCAGACGCCATGAATGGCCTGATGGACATGCTAGAGCAGGAGGAAGGTCAGAGGTCAGAGGGGAGGAGGCCAGACGGCGAGCGCCAGGGGGGCCTCTGGGCGGGAAGCCGGGTTCCCACAGTAAAGTCTCTCTCGTTTCAGGCCAGCAGAGGGTTCAGGCCCGCATCACCGAGTCGCCTACTGTCAGTCGGGTCATCGACAAGGGCAAAGAGAGGTAATGCACTCCCCGCTTGCAGGGATGCCAGCCATGGGGGATGTCCCGCGTGAGTCTCTGGAGGCAGCATCAGGATGGATGGCAGCCAACAGACTGAGGTTGAACGTTTCTGGGGGACAGGGGGCAGGCTGGTGTGGGGGACTCCCTGGTCCTAAATGGGGTAACTGTGCCCCTGAAGGATCAAGTGTGCATTCTGACAGTCATTTTGGACTCACAGCTGTCCATGGAGGTGCAGGTCAATTCTGTGTCCAGGGCAGCTGTCTGCCAGCTCCATCTGGTATGCAGGCTGAGATCCTACATGCCCACAGACTGTCACCAGAGTGGTTCATTCTCTGGCTATCTCCCACTTAGACTACTGCAATGCACTCTACATGGGGCTACCTTTGAAGGTGACTCAGAAGCTACAACTAATCCAGAATGTGGCAGCTAAACTGGTGACTGGGAGTTGCCATCGGGACCATATAACAGTGGTCCTAAAGGAGCTATACTGGCTCCCAGTATGTTTCTCAGCACAATTCAAACTGTTGATGCTGACCTTTAAAGCCCTAAACAGCCTTGGCCCTGTATACCTGAAGGAGCATCTCCACCCCCTTCACTCAGGCCGGACACACTGAGGTCCAGCCCTGAGGGCCTTCTGGCAGTTCTCTCATTGTGAGAAATGAGGTTACAGAGAACCAGGCAGAGGGCCTTCTCGGTAGTGGCGCCTGCCCTGTAGAACAGCCTCCCTTCAGATGTCATGGAGATAAACAACTACCGGTATTTGACTTTTAGAAGACATCTGAAAGCAGCCCTGTATTGGCTGTATTTTTAATGTTTAATTATGCTTTTTTATGTGTTGGAAGCTGTTCAGAGTGGCTGGGGCAACCCTGTCACATGGGCTGGATACAAATAATAAATGTATTGTTTTTATTATTTTCTTGTCTCTAGCTCAGTGTTGCATGCCTTGCATGTAGGTGACCCTAGGTTCAATTACCTGTATCTCCCCTCAAAACACATCTCGCCTAACACAGGAAAGGCCTGGAGATCTGCTGCCAGTCAGAGGAGACCAGAGGCTGTTAGATCCATGGGCACCACTGGATTTTTGAACTTTACCCTGGGTGCCAACCCATCTGGTCACTCCTTTGCTAACAGGAACCCATTGGGTGCCAGCTGAAATCTCCAGGCTAGTTTGAAAGGCCCTGCATAGAGAGCATTGCAGCAGTCACTCCAAGCAAGGGGTTACTAGGATATGAGAGACAGGAGTCACCCCTCTGTTCTGCAGATTATTTGTCCTTTACTGGGTGCGTGCATTGGGGGGCAAGCTCAGGAATGGGGTCCATTCTGCAGTTAAATGTGGCCTGTGGTGCCGGGCATCGCTGTCTGCGTAGACAGTACTGCGCCAGGTGAACCAATCAAAGCGCAGGGTTTGTTTGGAGTGAATCACACCGTGTTTGATTTTTAGGTGTTAACTACGAACCCTGGTTGGGTGTATCAATTACTCAGTTTGGGTGGATAGTACAAAATGTGGGGTTTGCAGTACAGTTTAGGGATGATCCCATAAAGCTGTCTTGACTCCGTATGAGGCAGCCCTGTGCTTCGCCTCCCTTGGCTTGCCTGAGTTTCCACGTGAGCAGAGCTGGTGAGCCTGTGCTTCTCTCCTTGCTCCCTAGGCTGGGCAACTGGGCCGTGGAGAGCACCTTCATCTCCAGTCTGTCGGACCTGCCCAAGGGGGTGTCCTTGAGCCCCCCGGCGCTGCGGCCGTCGGTGCCCTACAGAGTGCGGGGCCGGGAGAGGGAGAGGCCGGATCACACCCGGATGGACTCCTCGGAGGAGAGGGAGTGGGGGCTCCAGCCTGGGAGGCGGCAGGGCCTGGCGAAGTGGCTGGAGGAAGCTGATAGCAGCATATTTGGACAAACACAGGTAGGAGAGTGCAACATTCCCTCGCGATTCCCATCCAGACAAAGCAACCCCTGATCAGTCGGTAGAGGCCAAAGAATAAACAAAGTCAAGGCACTAGATAAGCATCGTGGGCGGGATTCACCAAAGGAGCTCCACCCTCACCAGCCCTGCGTAAGGACTTCCACTTGCACAACAGAAAATGGGCTGGGGGAGGGGATGGGAGAACCCTCAGAACAACATGTGGAACAAACATCACAGCATGAGATTAAATTTCACCTCATGTATATCTGTAGCACAGATATGAAAAGATTTTAAAGCTTTACAAACAAAACAAGGCTATACAAGAATATTTAAACTATATACACTGCTGAAATGCAGGCACTCTAGGGAATATTGCATCAGTGTATTCTGAAATATCTATCTTTGCTGACGGAATGCATCGTTCAAATGCTGGTGGCACTGGAGCCATGAAATGTAAAGATACAACACGCCCAAAGCTTGATATCCTGAAGTTGAAGGCTGACTTTCACAGTCCCCATCCCCACCTACGAGCCCAAGCGCAGGGACCTAGAGCAAGGTGGGGAAGGGAACAGGAAATAAGGAACTTGCCTTCTGCAGAGCCAGACTATGGATTCCCCAGCTCAGCATCGTCTTCTCTGAAAGGCAGCAGCTCTCCAGAGGGTTGCAAGCAGGGAGTCTCTCCCAGCTCTACCTGGAGATGGTGGGGTGGAACCTGGGATTTCTGCGTGCAACAGATGTTCTGCCGTGGAACTGCAGGAGGTGTAGCCCTTTGTCTCTGTGTTCCCTTCCCTCCACACGTGGAAGGGAAGGGTTTCAGCCGCCCTGAGCCCGGCCTTGGCTGGGGAGGGCGGGGTATAAATAATAATAATTATTATTATTATTTTAGGGAGGAGGATTTGCACATCCAAGGACTCACTGAGAAGGACAGAAATAAGGGGGGGTTATTTTAAAAAAATCAAATTTGACACATCACTAAATCATTTTTAAAATGAAACAAAACATTGTTGATAAGATTGCACCCATCAGGTGTGTCAAGCGGTGAGAGATTCCCCTGACAGGTACAGTATTTCACTGCACCCATTAAAACCATGCTGTCTCTTGGGGGGGGGCAGCAGAGGAACACTGCAGTCTCTAGTTGTAGCAGGGAAGCCAAAAACCAGGCCTCCTTTCCTGGGTTGTTATAAGAACTGGTCCAGCAAAGTAGCTCAGTTCATGCATCCAACATGCTCTTCGTGCTTTAGCTCAGTATTTCTTACCCAGTGAAGCAGACGCATATCATTGCAGGCCCTTGGCTGGGTAGGTGGGTGGGGGACCAAGGCTGCAGAAATCTTCTGCCAGGATTTAGCTGTTGGGATCCAGAGAGAACTATTTCAGGGGGCTTCAGCATCACTTGAGTTGCCTGCCGACACTCTGCTGGGATGTTTGGCTTCCAATTTGTTTCACTTGTTGCTTCTTATTTGATATAGTAGTGGTAGTTATTAGCTTTTGCCAGCAGCTTTGGGGGAGATGCCTTTGGCTAAAAAAAGGTGTGTGTGCGGGGGGGGGGGTATGTCAGCTAAATGAGAAGGTTGCTCTGCTGACATTTGCACTCCTGTGCAGAAGAAGCTCATTTGCCCCCCCCCCTCTTGCTTGGGGGAGGGGGCTGGCCCAGCAGCCATGTTCAGCTTCTCTGCTCTATTTATATCCTGGCCAGCCGGCCTCTTCATTGCTTCCTAATTGGGTAGCGCCTGGTTCTCACCCAGAGCCAGGTATGGAGGGGCCAGAAATAGAACTGCCCAGGATGCCAGAGAACGGGGGGGGGGGGCTGCTGTGCAAGACATAGGTGCACAGCCCTCTCCTAGGTGGCTCAGGCAAAGCGTGCTTCTCAGCTCTTCGTGCCCAGGGGCACCAGGAGACCCCAGGCTGGATTGCAGGCTGGGCCAGGCCTCGTGCCACCTCCGTGCCCTGCCTGGGCTTTGGCAGAGCACTGGGTGACGTTGAAAAGCCCCCCCCCCCGCTGCTGCATCTTTGTGGCCGAAGGAGGGGGCAGGGAGGGTTGGCCAGAGCCTCCAAACAGCTGGTCGGGGGAGGCTAAAATTACAGCAGCTTTCCTACCCAGCCCGGCCCCTACCCGCTTCCCAGTCGTGAGCCAGAGGCTGCTCCTGCCAGTAGCCTGGGCAGTGCCCTCATGCCATGAGGGAAGGCCAGCGTTAGGCTCTGGGCTGGCTGGGCTAGGGTGGGGCGGGAGGTGGCGGCAGCACCATGTGGGGCTTCCTGACCCAGCTGCTCATCAGCCTGGTGCTGCTTGGCTTCTTCCTGGTCAGCTGCCAGAACCTGCTGCACATTGCCCAGGGCTCCTTCCGCTTTATGCTGAAGCACATCCACCAGGAGCTGGACAAGGAGCTGGGCGAGAGCGAGGGGCTGAGTGATGACGAGGAGCCTGTCTCCACACGGGTGGTGCGCCGGCGAGTCATTGTCCAGGTAGCTGGCCGGAGGAGGCTTCCCCAAGACTGGCCGGGCCGGTGCCCACCAACCCGCCCTGGGTGGCACTCAGGGACGCCGTGCCAGGCTTCACTCACTGGTAGTGTGGCGGAAGGACGCCAGGGACCAGGGCAGGGCATGGAGCGAGAGGAAGAGCGCTGGCTTTGCCCCAAGAGCTGACTTTCTTTGAACCCCCCGTGGGGCTTTGAGAGGACGTCCGCTGCTCTGTGCCAGTTCTGGGAGGGTGAAGGACTTTGTGGTCCCATAGCAATCTTGCTCACTCTCCTTTCTGCTTTCCCAACCCTCCAGGGGAATGAAGCGCTGGATATTCCAGGGGAACAAGTGACCGAGGAGCAATTTACAGATGAGCAGGGCAACATTGTCACAAAGAAGGTGAGTGGCCTGCCAGGGGGAGACGGAGGGCAGAGCAGGAGGCGGCAGCTGGGCCAGTCGGCTCCCGGCTCCCCGAGAAGCCCTTCCTCCCCCTCACGCTAGAATCCTGCTGGGCTCCTGCGCCTCCAGGCTCTTTTCCTTTGTGCCAGAGTTTTGCTCCTCACATTGCCTGCTTGCGTTCAGTGTGACACACTTGGACTTTATCCCAGCGTGTGCTGGCAGGAACCCTGACAGATAGGCTTGGTTGTTTGATGGGGTCTCGCTAGCAGTAGTTGAAGAAGCAATTTCTGTCAGGACTACCCAGCCCAAGAGAGTTTGTGTTGGGGTTTTCTTTTGTGGGGGGTGGCTTCTAGTATGCGCATGCGGGGGGGGGTGACCTTAGTTTGCTCTGTAGGATGCAGCTTGACTGACTTGCTTGAGTCATATTCTGACTCAAGGTAGCTCTTGGTCTGAAGTTTGAGGGTAAATTGGGGTGGATGTGGAAATAAGGTTGGGTGATGGAATTAGCCTGTGGGTCAATTCCTAATCGTGATTCTCCACCTGCTTCACTAGCAGCAGCTGATGATGATGATTGCAAAAGATCTAATTATAGGGGTCCTTATGTGTGTAAGAGAGAGAAGCTCTGGTCGTCCAAAGGACTGTGTGTCGGAGCACTGAGATGAGATGGGAACTGTTCTGATCTTGCCAGTCTGACTTGGCTTCAGCCACGCTGGCCTTTGCTCCCTGCAAACCTTGTTGTGGGAATTTCACGCAGGAGCTGAATGAAGAGGAAGGTGAATGACCTGCCACAGCACTGGGTGGGAGAGTGAGCTTGTAGCTTTCTGCAAGGTCCTAAAAATACCAGTTGGTCTAAATCGGGCGCAGGGCCAGCACCAGGTGCTGGGAGGCAGGCAGAGGTCAATGCTGAGCGGGGAGAAGGAGAAGGTATCTGAAGAAGTGTGCATGCACACGAAAGCTCATACAAATAACAAACTTAGTTGGTCTCTAAGGTGCTATTGCTATTTTGTTTTGACTACGGCAGACCAACACGGCTACCTACCGATAACAGGGAGAAGGAGAAACCCAAAGGGTGTAGGACCTCTTTTGCTGAATTCCTCGCTCCCTTGTCTTGTGGTGAGGGTGGCCAGATGCAGAAGAGGGGAGGGCCTTCGCCTTTGGGTGGGGTTGTGCAGAGAAAGGAATGTCAGCCCGTGTCGCATGTCATGCAAGATACGCCTCCTGAGACTGACATTCCGTCCCCCAGGCAATTGTCTTCTTTTGCCACCTGGAGAGAGGGGAGATCGCATTGCACAGTTCTTAGCAATGGTTATTATTATTATTATTAACTAAATTTGTATACTGCCCTGTACCCGCAGGTCTCAGGGCGGTTGCAACATAAATGTGATTATGATGTTGAAGATGATTATTTAATACAGCACTATCAATGCACATTGCACTTTATTGAGTTGCAACGGCAGAAAGAAACGTTTCTGACCAAAGGACTTCGCAATCTACTGTATTTTTCACTCTATAGGACGCACCGGATCATAGGACGCACAGGACCCCCACGCACAGGGGGAGAACAGGAAAAATATAATTCTCCCCCTCTCTGCTCAGCACCCCTTCAGCGAAGCGGCAGGAGAAATGGAGCCCCTTCCATTTCTCCTCCCGCTTCACTGAAGGGGCGCTGCGCAGCTCTCCCTCTCTGCTCAGCGCCCCTTCAGTGAAGCGGTAGGAGAAATGGATCCCCTTCTGCTGCGCTCCGAAGGCTTGCGGATAGCTGCCTGAAGCCCCCGGAGCGCAGCGGGAGTTCCCTGCGCTTCAGGGGCTTCAGTGAAAGCAACACGAAGCTTCCGGAGCACGGGAGGAGCTCTCCCTCTGCGCTTCGGAGGCTTCGCGTTGCTATCGCTGAAGCCAAGGAGCCTGCATTTGCTCCATAGGACGCACACACATTTCCCCTTCATTTTTGGAGGGGGAAAAGTGCATCCTATAGAGCAAAAAATACGGTAAGTCAGCCTCCAACCCTGTGCCATCCAAACCTTTTGGACTCCCAACTGTCATCAGCCACGGCCAGCACAGCCAATGGTCAGCGTTGTGGTTCAGAACATCTGGAGGGCACCAGGCTGGGGAAATCTGAGTGTAGCAGCTCATGCTGCCATCCTAGTTATCCTTCTTTCAACATTAAATCTCCCTGCACTCAGTGGGAATGACTCCCAGGCAAGGGCACATAGAACTGCTGCCCCAGGGTCTGAGCTATGAACCAGGATGTCCCTAGGATGTCAAATCTCTCCTTTCCCCCAAACTCAGCAGGTGATCTTAAGCAAATGGCTGGCTCTCACCTGGAGACCATATGCTGGCCTGCCTTATAGGGGCATCATAAGGCAGCCTTCACCAACCTGGTGCCCTCCAGATGTTTTGCACTACAATTTCCAGCAGCCTCAGCCCGCAGGGATTGATGCATGCATGGACCAGAGCAGTTCATGCAGTCAGCCTCCTTTCTTTATTCTCAGAACAACCTTGTGAGGTAGGTGAGGAAGAGAGAGAGAGGCTGGTCCAACATCACCCAATAAGGATTTGAGGCTGAGCAGATATATCTCCCTTGTCAGAGCCCAGCCTTCCTCGACCTGGTGCTCTCCAAATGCTTTGGACTACAACTCTCATTAGCCACAGCCATATAATACTGGAGCTGGTGGGAATTGTAGTCCTAGAGCACCAGGTTGAGGAAGGCAGCTGTACACATTCTTGCAAGATAATGTCTTTATGCCTTAGTTCACAGAGGGAAACATGATGCCCTCATGGTCTTTCAACATTCCAAAGGTGTCTGTGAGTGATGAATAGGTATTACTGCTATAAAATTAAATTTGGAGGCAGTGGAGTTTGTTTCATATGGGCAAATGGGGCCCTGGCCCACCATTTGGGGCAGGTCCAGGCTCCAGAACAAGAGATCAAGGGCTGTGCCTCGCGGGAAGGCACTCCAGGCATCCGGGGCTGGAAGGGAGAGCGGGCAGGCTTTCCGAGGGCTGGTGGGCATCACTTGAGGAAGCAGGAGACTGTCTAAAAGTGCTGCACTTAATTTTTGCAGATTATCCGGAAGGTGGTGCGGCGGCTGGAAACGGACGGGACAGGCGACGCACGGCAGCACGAAGAGGTGATTATGGAAGGCTCCCTGCAGGAGCCTTATGCGCTGGAAGCCCAGGCTGGCCGCTTCCTGGCCCATGCCCCTTGGCAGCAGGAGAGTGCAGGCAGCAAGGTACCCAAGCCCCACGGGCCTCCCAGCCCCAGGGCTCCAGCTGCGTCCTCCTCTCTGTCGTCTGTCCCTTGCTCTTTCTCTCTCTCCCCCCCCCCTCGCCCTTGCCTGGCGCAGCAGGACCCTCTCCTTCTGCCCATGCCAGGCACTTTGCTGCAGGAGTCCCCTGCCGCCATCTGACTCTCCTTCTCCTTGTGTCTCTCCGTCCGTCCGTCCGTCTGCCACCCCCCTCGTGGGTTTCTCTGTGACCGTTTGCCGCTTTCCTGTCTCTCGCTGCCGTTTGCCCAGGAGGAGGCTCAAGGGAGTGTCTCAAGATCGGAGCTTCTCGGGGGCAGGATGGGGGCTCAGATAGTGAAACGAGCCAGCCTGAAAAGGGGGAAGCAGTGACACCCCTCACCCCCCACCCCTCGAGTGGCCTCTTTGGAGGTAAACACCCCTTTGTTCTTACTAGCAGCTGGGGGGGGCGGTCGCCGTGTGTCAACTGTGGTAGGACCTAGCAGTTTCCCTTGGAGTCCCTCTCCTTTGCCTGTACAGTGGTACCTCGGTTTAAGAACAGTCTGGTTTACGAACAATTTGGTTTACGAACTCCGCAAAACCGGAAATAGTGTCTTGGTTTGAGAACTTTACCTCGGTCTAAGAACAGAAGCCAAATGGTGGAAGGTGGAAGGGCACCAGCAGCAGGACAGCCTCATTCGGGAAAGCACGCCTTGGTTTAAGAACTGTTTTGGTTTAAGAACGGACTTCTGGAACGGATTAAGTTCGTAAACCGAGGTAACATTGTATATTATTATTATTATTATTATTATTATTATTATTATTATTATTATTATTATTATTTCAACTTGTATCCCACCCTTCCAAAGGAGCCCAGGGCAACAAACACATTAACACTAATAACAAATTTCAAAGAATTATAAGCAGAGTTTTGTTTTGTTTTTAAAAAAGGCCTTTCAGCTATCAAACCCCTGGAATGTTTTTGATTCCTCCGGAAAGTTAATGAGTTTCTGGGCCCAATTCCAAGTACTGGTACTGAATGATAAAGCCGTGCACAACTCAGGACCTCAACACCTTAAGACCTGCCTCTTCCCATACAAGCCAACCTGGACCCTGCGCTTGTCTGCCAAGACCCTCCTTCATGTGCCCCTCCATGTGAGGCCCAGAGGGTGGCAACAAGAGAACGGGGCCTTCTCTGCAGTGGCTCCCCGTCTGTGGAAAGCTCTCCCCAGGGAGGCTTGCCTGGTGCCATAATTGCATGTCTTTAGGCACCAGGCAAACTCTTCTCCCAGGCCTTCAGCCATTAAACTGTTGCTGTGGGGTTTTTTGTGATTGCTTTATTTTACTATTTTTATTATGCTATGTAATTTCTCTTTTTAAATGTTGTACACCGCCCTGGGATCTTTGGATATAGGGCAGTATATAAATTGAAATAATAATAATAATAGGGACGCTGGTGGCGCTGTGGGTTAAATCACAGAGCCTAGGGCTTGCCAATCAGATGGTTAGCGGTTCTAATCCCCGTGATGGGGTGAGCTCCCATTGCTTGGTCCCTGCTCCTGCCCACCTAGCAGTTTGAAAGCACAAAGTGCAAGTAGATAAATAGGTACCGCTCCGGCGGGAAGGTAAACGGCGTTTCCGTGCGCTGCTCTGGTTCACCAGAAGCGGCTTAGTCATGCTGGCCCCATGACCTGGAAGCTATATGCCAGCTGCCTCAACCTATAGAGTGAGATGAGCACTGCAACCCCAGAGTCATCCATGACTGGACCTAACGGTCAGGGGTCACTTTACCTAATAATAATAATAATAATAATAATAATAATAATAATAATAATGGCTGCACTTCAGCAGGGAGCACATTCCGCAAATGGAAAACCACCACTAAGAAGGCCCTGTCTGTCCTGGGTCAGCACCAACCAGGCAGTCCCACCACCCCGGCCTCAGCTGCCAATTGTAGGACCTGAGACGGTTGATACTGACAAAGGTGCTCTGTTAGGTCCTCAGACCCCAAGCCATTTAGGGCTTTATAGGCCAGTTATAACACATTGATTGGCCCCACTGAGCCGCCCCACTTAGCAGCCCAGCAGCCACATTATGCACTGGCTACCACCTCAACGCCATCTTCAGGGGCAGCCCTGAACTAGGACTCCACAAGGGGCAGGCCCATCCTCTGTTCTGGACATGTGACGTGGGTGTTAAAATGGGAGTCTCAAAGCACCTTCAGGGCCTCTTGGGGGTCCACAGCTGCTTTGGTCCTCAAACAGTCCTACTAGCCTGCCATCTTTTAGTGCTGGTCTATTCAGAGGATAGCAGCTTGCATTTCCAAGCAAATGTTGCCTCTTAGCCTCTTCTGTCTAGCAAGCTGGTGGAGAAGGGGCAGAGTCACCTGTCTCTTCTGTGTCAGCCTGCACAGAATTCCTTATCTTCCATGCTGGCCTTTGTTCGGCCACATCAGTCCCAGCCAGCATGGGCCATTGTCAGGAACAATGGGAGTTGTAGTCCAACAACATCTGGAGGGCACCAGCTTGACACAATCTGACACAGCCCACATCGTGGGACTCCGACTCCCATCAGCCTCAGTGGCTGCCTGAGCCTTTTCTCTTTTAACCGGAGAGGCCAGTGATGGAACTTGGGACGGTTTGCATGCAAAGCATTTTCTCTAATGTAAAAAGAGAGGAAGGGCTGCTGGATGAGGCCAGTGGCCCCTCTAGTCCAGCACCTGCGTCTGGCCAGATGCCAGTGGGAAAGCCATACGCAGGATCTGAGCTCAAGAGCACTCTCCCTTCCTGCTGTTTCCAGCACAGAATGCAGATCATTGCCTTAGAATCATAGAATTGAAGAGTTGGGCGGGACACCAAGGGACATCTAGTCCAACCCCCTGCATTTGTGGCTGGTAGTCACTGATAGCCCACCCCTTCATGAGTTTTCCCAATCCTCTTATCAAGCCATCCAAGCTGGTGGCCATCCCTGCCGCCTGTGGGAGGGAGCTCCACCATTCAGCTAAGCACTGCCTTAAAAAGGACTTTTTATGTCCATCCTAAATCTTCCAGCATTCAGCCTCATTGACTGCCCATGAGTTCTTGCACTGTGTGTGTGAGAGAGAAACCTTTCCATGCCATGCATAATTTTGTAAACTGCTATCCTGCCGCCCCTTCCTCGCCTTTTTCTCCTTAGCCTTAGCCTTCTCCCTTCCCGACACAAGGAGTGCCTGCAAAGCGCTTCTGTGCTACTCTTGAGGGTCTGGTGGCACCAGGATCCTCATCCTGCTCTTCTGTCCGGAAGAGGTGGCACTCTTGAGAAAAGCAGGGGTGCCCTTCACTCTGTGCCCACAGAAGATTTGACTTTGGGGAGTGTCAGAGTAGAGAACAAGCCTCCCATCACAGATCCCTCCATGAACCCTTTCTGGGTAAACCTCCTGGCTGGCAAGCCCAGAGCAGTGATTCGTGCCAAAATTCATACCATTTCAGCCAAGCCGCCCCCACCTGCCCTACACCTAAGCTCATATATGACATCACATGGGATGACAGGTGAAAACCTCGCTCAGCCGAAAGGGAGCCTGCAGACACCACCAGTCCGTTGATTGGTGGATCCTGCAAAGGGCTGCAAGCGGAGCCTCCCAAGAGCAGGCAATCAGCTGCCTTATGGAGAGCCTGGCAAAGGAGGAAGGACCAAAGGTCACCTGACCTCCATTGGCAGGCAGCAGCCCTGCCCACCCGTCAATCTCCTTTTGGGGAAATCATGATCCAGTTCACCTGCCAGATCTAGTTCCTCTCCCTGATGTATGGGGGTGTATGTGTGTGTCTATATATTTATAGAATCATAGAATAGTAGAGTTGGAAGGAACCCCAAGTGTCATCTAGTCCAACCCCTGCAAGGCAGGAGTCTCAACTAAAGCATCCATGACAATCTTACTGACTGTTCACAACTTGCCCTGTGTCTTTAATAATAATAATAATAATAATAATAATAATAATAATAATAATAGTCAAGTTTGGCAGAGGTACATTTTTCCTACTCTGGTGGGAGAAGCCATATCTGCCAAAGCTCCTTCCTTTATACAAGGGCTGAAAGTGTGAGCCTTCAGCCTTCATGCAATCTGGCAATCCTTGGAAGGGCCTGGTTAGCAACATCTGTGGCAGGACTGACCTGTGGCTCCTTCCAGTCTCTGATGCAACAGAAGCTACATCGGTTGAGCTTCTGCCTGCTGAACAGATCTGAAGGCTGCCAGGAGTGGGGAGCAGCCCTTGGTTCCTGGGCCTTGCTTGGTTGGGCAGAAGGGCAGTGCAAGAGGGGGAAATGTTCCCGAGGCGTGTAGCACTATAGCGAGAGAAGCTTCAGCCACCCAAATTCTCCCTTTCCACTTGCTTTTCAAGCTGCCAATCCTCCTAGATGTGTTTGGGAGTCCCTGTGCTCCCTGGGCCTGTCTGTGCTGCCTGCTTGTGTCGCTGTCTCTCTGCGTTGTTCTCACGGCTGCTTCCTTCTGCCCTGCTGGGAGCCCAAAGTCTGTGCGCTTAAACAGGGCTTGTCCTGAACAGCACAAGGCTTAGTTCTCGTCTGCCTCGGGGGGGGGGGATAGGAACAGGAAGGCCTCCTCTTGCCTTGAGTGCTGTCGCCATCCTTCACTATAGAGTCATAGAGCCATAGAACTGAAGAGTTTGCAGGGTCCTCTAATCCAGCCCCCTGCAAAGGAAGAGAGAGAGCAGCTTTTGCATGCTCAGATGGCACTGCTCTCACCTGGAAAAACCTGAGTTTCTGCAGAGGTTGTTGAGCTACAGCTGACAACATCCCTGGCCACTGGCAATGTTCCATGAGGCTGGTAGCATAGGAGCCAACTCGTAGGGGGTGAGGTCCCTTCAGCTCCCGCCCCTGTAAAATATTTGAGGGGGCTGGACCCCCCCCCCCAGGCTGGTAGGCATTGCCATTCAAATGGTGTGCATGCACTACATCTTGTGATTGATTATGCAGGACGGGGCTTCCCTGCACACACAGCCCACCTGCAATATTTTATTCCACTTGGCACCCACAACATCTGGAGGGCCACAGGATTTGCAGAAGTATAGGAAGCCTCCATGGAAAGTGCAGTGGTCGTTAAGGACTAGAAACTTGGCATCCAGGAGCAGTTTCTCCTTTTTGCAGTTGTATGATAATAAGAAATGCCAGTGCGTGAATTATAAGAGAGTAGGGAAACCCCTTAAGGAAATCCACAGGCCTTACCCTCTGACCAATTTTAGCCAAATTGTGCCCCCTGCTGGCGTTATTGTAACAATAGCTGGGAGGCTGGGCCCCAAGCCTGGAGTACGGAGCGTCCAAAGAGCTTTCCCTAAGTCAGACTGGCTCCTCTTCAGATTCATCAGATGCGTAGCTCAAATAAGAACTTCCAAACTTCACGTAAATTTGGCGACAAGGTGAGGGTATTTCTAGAAGGAATTAAAGTTTGCCTTCTTCAGAAGCCTTTGCAGAAAACCTTCACGTTTGCCTTGAGCCTTGTTTTAGGCAAAATTTAGCAGAAACTTCACCCAAGGCCCCTCCTGTGGGCTGTGGCAATGGCAAGTCGGAGGCCTCCTTACGCTAGCATATTTCCCCCCTTGTGTTGAGCCAGCTTAACTGTCAGGATCCCCCTGCCCACCCACCCAAATCACCCTGGGAAGCACTTTATTCGCGACTTGGAGTTACCATTCCCTGGAGAGAGTGGGAATGAGCCCTGACCCAGGTGGGTGTGCTGTGTTTGAAGTGAAGCGGCAGAGATCATTCTGTCTGCTCTGGAAAGGTTCCTTCTGTTTGCACTGAAATCCCCGAGCCCAGAGGAGGGACGGGCGGAGGTGCTTTGCTGTGGCCTTGGCATGTTTCTAACCCGAGCTTCCTGTCTCCTCTTCCTCTCTTTCCACCAGGGCTTCACCTCGACACCAATCCACTGACCTCCACCTCCCCCTTGTGCCCCCACGATGGCCAGGCGAGCGGAGCCACGAGCTCACTGGGGCAGGGCTGGCTCTCCATGACTCTTTAGGTTACATGGCATGATTTCCGTAAGAGACCTAACTTTACTGTCTTATTCGCATGACCGACCGACTGCAGACGCATGAGCTACAGTTCTTCCTCCTGACCTAAAGCCCGGACCGAGGAGGGGAAGCCGTGCGGGGGCGCCTGCTTCCCGGAGCCCTCTTCTTCTGATGCAGCAGGGAAGGAGTCAGCGGGATGGCACTCGGCGGCCCATCCACCCTCGCCCAGCCCTCCCTCATGCCCAGCCTTCGGTCCAGGTCTGCAGGCCTAGGAGATGGGAAGCAGAGCAGGGCTGCCCAGGGGGAGAGAAACCCGCCCCCCGGCTGTTCCTGTCCAGTTCGGGTGGAAAAGCGCGGCCTGGACAGTGGCTCAAACCTTGTGTATACAATGCGAACAGATACCTACTATGCAAACACAAATAGGGACGTTCGGCAGGATGGCATTGGCGCGGCTCCCCGAGAAGCCTCCCCAGGCTGCCAGCCCACAGCGGGAGGGAGGCAGGGAGTGCTAAGGATGGTGCCAGGCAGAGCAGATCTCCCAGGCTCATATCTCTCTCTCTTGCAAAGACACACACACATATTCGGGGGGCGGGGTGAGCGGTGGGTGGAAGAAGAGAGGGGGGAGGAAGGGCTAGTGGATGAGCCTCTGCCAGTCCACTTGTGCCAGGCCCACGGGCACCAAACCCTCGGGCTGGAAGAGCGCAGCGTCCCGCTTGCGCCCGATGCCCGGCTCCACCCAGCACAATCTGTCACTCAGGAGAGGTGCAGAGCTGCGTTGCAACCTTACCTGCGCTTCTACACTAGGGAGGACCCGCAAAGGCCTCCCAACTCAGCACAGACGTGGCACCTGCCAAAGTTTCCTGGACCACTCCTAGCTGGGGAGTAGCTGAATCTCCCCCCCCAACCCACTTACACACTCCCACACCAAGTCCCAGGATGAATAAAGGGAAGAGCAGTGCACTCTGGGCCTTTTTTCCCTGCCAGAGGATGCTCTACTGCCCCCTCCCTGCCCCTTGGTGCTTGGGGAGTCCTCCCCCTCCCCAGGACACTTCTTCCAGCCAAGCCAGAGGCCTGGGACTCCTTCCTTGAGCAAAAGGTCGATCCTTTTAGGGGGCATCTGCTCTGGGATTCCAAAGAGAGCGGGGGGGGGGAGTTGGTGGGGAGTTATGCTGGCTGGTTGCCATGTGACCCCCCCCCACTTCAGTCTTTGGACCCAGAAGAGATGACAAGGGGCACCTGCTTCCTGAGAAATGCACAAGTTCAGCTCTTTCCCCCAGGGCCCCCCCTTCCAGGCCTTTGGTGCTGTTGCTGCCACCCCATATGCAGCTGCCCCGGGTCGTTGACACCCCCCCAAGCAATCTGGGGCTGGGCAAGCATGTGGGTCCCACTCTCATGCACAAGGGGCAGGGTGATGGGGCGAGGGAAGGGAAGCTGGGGAAAGACCCAAGAATGTGGTCCAGGCATCTCCACAGAAAGTATCAAGAGCTGCCCCAGTGACTACCATGCAAAGTACACACAGCGACCCCCCCCCCGCCACCTTCATGCAACATGTGCCCTGTATGCCCGCCCGCCCCAAATTGCTGACACAGCCTTTGCCATAGACTCTAGCGTGGGGCCCCCCCATGCTTTGGCCTCCTGTAGTGCGTAGGAAAATGAGCTGCGAACTGTGCCCCCCTCGCCTGCCTGCGGGGCGACGCTTTGCCCGCTGATTGCTAGTAGGAGCTGTAGGGGAGGGTGATGCCTAGAGAATGCTGCCTTCTGCACTCTAGATGCTTTTTAGAAGTTTATGAGATTACTTTTAGTTTCTTTTTTATTGTTATGGGAATTTTTGAGCCTTTTGGCTCCTCCTCCTCCCCTCCCTCTTCCTCCCCACCTCCATCCCTCACCCCTGATGTATAGACCATCCTCCCTTGTCCACCTGCTACCAGAATCCAAGTTAATAAAGAAACCAACACCACTTTGTGCTGCCTCGGCTTCTGTCTCTTCTTCCTCTCGCTTGCTAAGAGGAGCGCCAGAAATCCAGCTCTGGCCTGAAGTCTCCTGCTTTGCCTGGCCCCCTCCAGGAGGCAGTTGGGGGGCTTGGATCGCCAGGGGGTGAGAACGCCTTCAATAAGAATAATAAAACAGCCAGAAGACTCTGCCTGCAGCTTGCATGCTTCAGCCCAGCAGGAGCTGGCTTCAAATTATAGCATGAACCCTTGGGGAAGCAGGGGGCCTTCTGACTCCCCTGCTCCCTCTCCCAATTGACCTCTGTTTCCGGGGCCCAGCATGACACCAAGAGGTCTCCTTGCTGGGCCCAGAAATCTCAGGGTCTGGGATACGCCTGACCTGGCAGCCCTACTTACTAACTTGACTTCTCTCTTTATTTGTAAAATAGTTTAGATAACCAGGACGTGGTAAATAGGGTATCAAAGGTAACATTGGACATGGAGATTTGCAAAGACTGCTGTAATTTTGCCAGTTTACATCTAAGGAAGGGGGAGAAGTTTGATGCTGTTCACATTTAAAGGCAACTATCATCATTTGCCCTTTCTGAAACAATACGCTAAGCAAAATCTAACCAGTCTTCTAAATTTGCTCTCTGAATTTTGCAATGCAGTTCCTCAGCATAGGGAAATTGCATTAGAGCAAATTGCTTTGCAAACGTGTATATTAGTCAAAATTGCAGACAAAAAATGTGTATATTAGCAGAAATCCTGCCATGGGCCCAGAGGAGTGGTGGGAGGCACCAGCTGGAGAGCCCCCAAGGGAAGAGAGGCGGTGGGGTGGCTGTGGGTGGTCAGAGGGAGAAGACTGGGAGGAGGAGGAGGTGGAAGCTGAAGAGGCAGCAGGGTTAGTGGGTAGGGAGAGTCTGGCAGAGAGAAGCCCAGAAGGGGAAGCAGGAGAGGAGGGAGGCCAAGGGGCAGAGATGAGGCAAGCTGCTGAATAATCTGGGGGGCCTCCCCCTCCTGCTGTGACCAGCTCTCCCAGGACCAGAAGAGGCAAGAAGATGGCAGAGCAGAGAGAGACATGTGGACAGAGTCTCAGATTGCTTGAGAAGGACCCAGGGGAGGAGGAGACTTGGAGAGCGGCGGGAGGCAGGAACCGGCAGTCCTCACAACTGCCTCACTGGGGCAAGACCTACTGGGAAGGGCTGCGGTGACCACTAGGACTGAGCTGTTTCAGCTCCTTTGAATAAATAGTTAACTTCACTGACACCTTGTGGCCTGCTCCTGACACCCGTCCTGATAAAGGCACACTAAAATGCTAATGAATTTTTGGTGTGTGTGTGTGTGTGTGTTAGTATGGCAAACTGATGTGGATATGCATAGAACTAAGAAAAATAATGGAATAATTAGAGAGCAACTGAAATGGTCAGATTTGCCCATCCCTCCAGATGATGTGGGTTTCCTGCAGCTTCCACTGAACTATATAGCTATAGTATTTTATTTTTATTTTTTTAAAAAGCCAAGTCAGACAAGGGCAAATCACATGATTGATGTTGCGTCTAGCTTTGCCCTTAGGTAATTTTCCTTTGGAGCTGATCCCTGCAAATGCATTTCTGTGACCCCAAGAAAGAAGTTAAGGGTGCATTCCCCAAAGCAGCGTTGGGGAGCCTCTGGCCCTCCCAATGTCCCAGCTGCCCAGCCCACCTGGTCAACACTCATTACAAACATTGCAGTTCAGTGCAGGGTGCTTCCGACAGTAAGTGATGTTGGTTTCTGTGGGTGTTTCTTTAGTGAATGAGGCAAAGCCATGAAGGAGAATTCTGTCTCCCGAAGGGGGCAACATGTCACGGAGGAGGGGGGGGACACACACCAAAGAAGCCAGTAGGAATTGCCACATCTGCCTTCTTTCTTGCTGGGAAGTTAAGAGTGTAGTGAACAAGCTGTCACTGCAGCTATTGATGTGAAAGAGTATACACTTGATTTGTACAACTCAGCTATTGTGCACATAGCTACACACACATTAAATGTTGCATTTGAATAACTATGAGTGTACAGCTCAAGTAATGTGTGCACACATTGTACCACTCATTTAAAATAATGTGTAGAAGCCCTTACACCCATACAAGATGGGTGACACCTGGCTTGAGAGCAGTACATGTGAAAAGGATCTAGGAGTCTTGGTTGACCACAAACTTGACATGAGCCAACAGTGTGACGCGGCAGCTAAAAAAGCCAATGCAATTCTGGGCTGCATCAATAGGAGTATAGCATCTAGATCAAGGGAAGTAATAGTGCCACTGTATTCTGCTCTGGTCAGACCTCACCTGGAGTACTGTGTCCAGTTCTGGGCACCACAGTTCAAGAAGGACACTGACAAACTGGAACGTGTCCAGAGGAGGGCAACCAAAATGGTCAAAGGCCTGGAAAGGATGCCTTATGAGGAACGGCTAAGGGAGCTGGGCATGTTTAGCCTGGAGAAGAGGAGGTTAAGGGGTGATATGATAGCCATGTTCAAATATATAAAAGGATGTCACATAGAGGAGGGAGAAAGGCTGTTTTCTGCTGCTCCAGAGAAGCGGACACGGAGCAATGGATCCAAACTACAAGAAAGAAGATTCCACCTAAACATTAGGAAGAACTTCCTGACAGTAAGAGCTGTTCGACAGTGGAATTTGCTGCCAAGGAGTGTGGTGGAGTCTCCTTCTTTGGAGGTCTTTAAGCAGAGGCTTGACAACCATATGTCAGGAGTGCTCTGATGGTGTTTCCTGCTTGGCAGGGGGTTGGACTCGATGGCCCTTGTGGTCTATTCCAACTCTATTATTCTATGATACTGTTGCCTCTGGTCAAGTAGCTATTTGTAAGAAAACAAACACCTGTCTGGCAGAGGTAATAGTGTGAAACGTGTCCATGCCACAAGCAACTATTACATTCTTTGAAAACCTCTGTTGCATAAATTTGACTAACTTAATAAATTTGACTAAACAACATAAAAAGGGGGGAGGGAAGAGTCTAGTGAAAGAGGGTGTATCCCCCTGCAAAGGGATGGTGTGGATGACCTGCTAAAAAACATAGGCAATTCATTCTCCCAGTGCCTATCCTTATGTAGGCAAGATGGCACCATCCAGGCACCAGGGGGAGGTGTGCGCAGTCTTGTGGCAGCCCCAGGGTTTGCAGAAGTAAAATAAAAGAACTTGAGAAGGGGCGCACAGCAAGGGCTTAGCATGCTTAGCAGCCACAAAAATGCTGTTAAGGTGGAGCTAGAGTGGAATGGAACCAAATGGAGTATCCTTGGGAAGGGTATAGGTGGCTGGTTTTCTGAGCAGGACCACTCAAGACATTTGGCTGCATGTCCCAATTATTCCTCCTGAAGCCAAACCTAAAACATGAGCCCTTCATTTCAAGTGGCCTGGCCCTCACCTCTCCTGCCTTCCCGATGTCTACACCACACAAAGAGTGCACACCTTGTACTTTTTATTTGGTTTTGCACACCAAATTTGGGCATGATGGGGTTTCAGGCCCCTGCTCTGTGTTCAGTCGCATGGCTTTGACTCCTGGAACAAGGAGGCCCTCCAGGCTGGTGGCTTTTCCCCAGGAGTGTTTTGCAGGATGCTGTTGACACACTAATAGTTGCACAGGTGGTGGATTTAGTCTGGACCATCCCCACAGACTTCTGTTTATTAGTTCTGCATTACAGCCTTAAAATGAATGCACTATTGGAGTCGGGGGGCACTCTGCCCTAGTGCAACAAAAGCAGGACAATCACCCCCCATCCCAAACATTTGTAGTATGAAAAATTACATCATTTCAGCAGGAAGCTATGGGTCATGCACTGACTGGAAGCCAAGCTTCCTGTCCACCCTGAAACTTTTCGCAGGCACCAAAAACCTTGAAAGTTGGATTGTAGATAATTGCTCTGACATCATCATGCACACAAATCAAAAGGATGCCTGGAGAGGCCCAAGGATTATTTATCTGTTTATATATTTTGAAACTTCTACACTGCTTTTCATTTATAAAATCTCAGAGTGGTTCACAGTAAGCAAGAAAGTCTCTAAAAGAGGCAAGTAACAAGCATCCAGATAGTCATAAAATGTTAAGAACAGGCACTTACAGCAGCAAACAGAACCAAGAATCACAATATCAACCGCCAGGAGAGGCCAATGTAATCAGGCAGATCTTTAACTCCTGGAAAGCTCCACCACCACCTGACTTCCATGGGGAAAGCTCTCCTGATTTCCATGGGGAACTCAGTCCATAAAGTACCGTATTTTTCGCACTATAGGACGCACTTTTTCCCCTCCAAAAATGAAGGGGAAATGTGTGTGCGTCCTATGGTGCGAATGCAGGCTTTTGCTGAAGCCTGGAGAGCGAGAGGGGTCCGTGCGCACCGACCCCTCTCGCTCTCCAGGCTTCAGGAAGCTATCCCAAGTCTTGCAAGCCCGGCGGGATGTCCCGCGGGCTCGCAAGGCTTGCGGGCAGCAGCCTGCACCCAAAAGCTGGGGACAGCGGGGAGGCGCAGAGCCGCCACCCCGCTATTCCCCGACCTGATCTGGAGGCTGGCGGGGGGAGAAGCAAGCCTGCTTCTCCCCCCCCAGCCCCACAAGCTCGGGGGATAGGGGGATGGCGAAGCGCCGCCATCCCGCTATTCCCCGACCTGATCTGGAGGCTGGGGGTGGGAGAAGCAAGCCTGCTTCTCCCCCCCACCAGCCCCACAACCTCCAGATCAGGTCGTGGAATAGCGGGATGGCGGCGCTCCGCCATCCCGCTATTCCCCGACCTGAACTGGAGCCTGGGGGCGGGAGAAGCAAGCCTGCTTCTCCCCCCCCCAGCCCCACAACCTCCAGATCAGGTCGTGGAATAGCGGGATGGCGGTGCTCCGCCATCCCGCTATTCCCCGACCTGATCTGGAGGCTGGGGGTGGGAGAAGCAAGCCTGCTTCTCCCCCCCACCAGCCCCACAACCTCCAGGCTTCAGGAGAGCCCCACCGCCAGCCCCACAAGCTCGGGGGACAGCGGGAGAGGCGCAGCGCGCC